AATAAAAACAACAAAAGTACATACTAATGATCAAACATATTAAGATAGGTCATGTAGTCCAGGGTAGGCGAAGATTGAAGTCTATTGATTTTTATACACACAGTTTAGGCTGTATGCGATTAATTTCCCAAAGTGCTTCCATCACCTTCAATAACCAACCTTGAATTAGAGTTATGTGATGAAATAATTGTGAAACAGTCATTGATTAATGTTGATTTTGTGACCAGACATTAATAAGTGTTTTGCAATGGATGATGATGCTGGATTTCTATTAAGATTAATCGCGTTAGGATTTTCGATAGGATTTACTAGCCATTTTGGAACATGTTCTTTTCGACGATGACATTGGAACATTCTGTTACTTCTACCTATATAGGTGTCACCGCAGCTGCAGGTGAACTTGTAGATACAGTTTGAAGTAGAGTCCACAGAACTTCGTCCTTTAATCCTAGGTACAGGGATCGAAAATGTTCGGCAAGTGAGAAAAAGAGATGCGGCGTAGAATGTGCGTTTGATGGCTGACCGAAGTCTTTGAGCTAGCTGTCAACTGCATAATCTGGTCGCCCTTGAATGGTAGGTTAATAAAGATATCTAGCTTTCTTTGGTACAGAAGCTGTTTTTTTCAAGATGTGGTCTATCCTTACCGTGACAATTGATGAAGTTTTCTGGATAACCATTGGCTAATACAACTGAATGAATATGTCGAAGCTCATCCATCAATGTGTCACTCGTGCATATTTTTCGAGCCCTTGAGAACAAATATTTCATTAGGAGGGAACGTTTATACTGGATAGGAACAAAACTGATAAAATGAAGATATTGTCCAGTCCATGTTTGTTTACGAAAAGTAGAGCGCTGAATCGTTCCATCATTTCTTCTAGTCATAGTAATATCCAGGAAACCGAATTTGTTATTGGATTCTGGTTCGAAAGTCACTCGAATATTTGGATGATTATGATGTATATATATATATATATATATTAGAGTTCAGCCTGATGAGATCTTATAGAAAACAACAATATTCTGTCAAATCTTGACTACAGTTCATTTGATTTAAAATAATTAGTCCCCTTTATAAATTTGGATAGCGTTATAAGAAGACGAAGATTATCTGTAAACTAATGTGGGTTGTATTTGCGCTATACATTTCGAACAATCTGATCACACATTTATTTGTCAAGTCAATATGTATATATATGCTTCAATCCTGAAAAGTGCACAAGTTATTAGGTCACATCCCACACTATTTACCAATTTTCGTGTGTGTGTGTGTGGTCATACATACGTAGGGAGGAGTAATCGCCCTTTGCATGTGAGGGTGGGAGAGCATATTCCAAAATGGCTAGAAAAACAAATAAAATTGTGAAAAACCAATAGATGCAGGTGTCAGACTACCAACTTCGTCTATAGCTAAACACCTAATCGAGATGAACCATAAGATTGATGTTAACTCAGCCTTTAAGGTCAACTATAAAAACGTTCAAAGGCGCTCATTGAAATACACCAAGGCTATTGTTATTCATAAACATAAGTCCCTTCGTGTGTGTGTGTGTGGGGGGGGGGTCAAAGACAGTTTATTATTACTCTTAACCTACCTTGGTAATCCTTATTTGATTGGATTGGCAAACGTCGTGTTAATCATTCTTAATTCTTTTTTTATCACTTTGTTTAATTTAACTTTTCTATACATATATTGACTTGACAAGTAAATGTGTGAGGGACCAGATTGTTCGAAATGTATATCGCAAATACAACCCACATTGTTTTTCAGATAATCTTCGTCTTCTTATAACGCTATCCAAATTTGATAGTAACTGAAAGTAACCTTTGACCTTTGTTTTCAACCTTCCTTTTTATTCCTTTACATTCTCCACTGGAACATAGGGCTTCAAGCTAGAAGCTTGAAGTTTTGAGATGAAGTTGCTAGCCGGGCCTCATGCCCAGCCTTCTCTCTCTTCACCAGTCATATTACTGGCTTAACAAGGTAAAGGAGTGCGTTGGCGGCCGGGAATTCAAACGCGAACCATCTGCAGGGTTGATGAGCTTTCTACCTCTGTGCTACCGACTCACTGTTTTCAATCTACAATCTATATAAAATAATATGCTTCATTCCAAAGCAGTAGTAATACTGTAACAGCGGAAGGCAAGACATGAAAGTCAAGGCATATTTTCTTCAAGTGATGAAACAACTATTTATATATGTACAGTTTATATTCCTCCAACCAATCATTGAGCGAGTTCTGTTAGTTTACATTAAACGACATGAAATAGATTGTTCAAATACATGTATAGTATGTCTGATTTCTGACAACCACTGGAAGATATGCAAGTTAAAAAGCAACAAGTTGGCAGAAGAAGCATTAAAGATACGACCTCCCTCAGATAAACATAGATAAAACAGAGGTGATGAAGATTCCTGGCCAACACCAACATCAGCAACAACAGACAACAATCAGCCAGTATAAATGGGAGGAACCTGAAAGAAACAACCTCCTTTAACTAACTGAGAAGCATCGATTCAAATACAGGGGGAACTGATGAGGATATCAAATCAGCAAGGATCGGGAAAGCAAGACAAGCTTTCATAACTCTCAAGTCTGTGTAGAGGTCAACAGAACCACTAAGCATGAAAAGTAAGATCCGGATTTTCAACTCCGATGTGAAGTCAGTGCTACTTACTATACGGATGAGAAACCTGGTGCATCATAAAGAGCATCTCAAACCAACTAAAGACCTTCATTAACAGCTGTTTCGCTCAATACTCAAGCTCAGATGGCCAGCTAGAATAGATCAGCAACAGGGATCTCTGGCAATGAGCGAACCAACGCAGTAGAAACCGATTGTGCAACAAATAAGCAGAAAGAAATGGAAGTAGATTGACCATACTCTGAGGAAACCATCAAGTGACATCACTTGACAAGCCCACAAGTGGAACCCGAAAAGGAAGCGGTGAGCTGGTCGTCAGTGCAAGGGTGACTTGGAGGAGGTTATGTGAAGAGAAGATGAAAGCATGTGGGCAGACTTGGAACCAGGTGAAAACTCTAGCAGAGAATAGAACGCAATGAAGACGCGCGCCTGAAGCCCTATGTTCCTCTAGGAATTAAAGGAAATAATAATAATTCTATTGCTAATTCAGTGTTGAACTATGGAAATATGTGAAAGTAATATTCCGTCGGAACACATCGTCTGTATCACACCACCACACTCATCTCCTGTTATGTACTCGTCGAGTAGTTAATAGTCCTGACACGGAAAGAGGGAAATCAGAAGACCACCAGATTTACGATGATACTTGTATTTTTCGAACAAGGAAAATCAATGTCACGCAAGTGTATGAGCGAATGTTCAAAAATGAACGAATCAATAGACAGTCCTAACATGATTGGTTGTAATGTCATGTGACAACAAGGTCAGACATGTTTGTTTAGTTAGTGGACAGACAAAAAACATATTGTCAATTATAATGGAATATCGGTCCATATATACATAGCAAAATATAACAGACTGTCAAAAACAACACACACATTATGTGGATACATGTCATTCCCCCCATCAAACTCTTTCGACTGAAGACGGTTTGATCTTCTTGGCGCTGGCGGTTTTGTTAGCTTGTCTTGCTATATCCAGTTCATTTTGTTCAATAGTCTGACATGGCCAACTCAGCCTGTTCACAGTTTTCTAACTCAGAAGTGAATTGGATTCGGTCTATAATTGAGTTTATATGTGTGTGAGAAACTGAGGGATATTTATAGCTTTCAACATATACACATTGGGTCATAGGAGTTATTAAGAAGAAGACAGTTGCAGCGAAGAAAATTTTCTTTTCAACGAAGTCACCGTCAACTAAGCTGTACATTCGTGTGTATTTATATCAAATGGATAGGAAAGTTCCACAATAATTTCAAGGTCAAGGTTAAAATTTACAAAAATTACAATTAGGAATTAAAATGTCATAATAAACAGGGGGTTGGATGGATAAAACTCAAACAAAGTAGCATCATAATTATTCAGAAGATTGACATTGTGCAATTGGGGGTTAGAAATGTAGAAATAACAAAATAGACAGGATGTCTGGATAAAAAAAATAATGTGATGAATAATCGTTTATGCAATCAGGGATTAAATATGTAGAAATAGTAAAATGACAGAATAAACGCGAAGTTCGGATATGAAAATATGGTAGTGTAAATAGGGATTAAGAGAAATTTAAAAATAGCATGAATAAAAAAGAAGTTCAGATAAGGAAGGCGATGGGATGGTCATTACTAAAAAATTACCTGTTTATGGTGGCCATGGCAGGGACAGGGGTTGGACGTATTTCTATTGGACACAAAGCGTAGATTTGATGTTTTGGATGGTTAGTGCCTCGGCTCTGCCCAGATGTCTTAATTTCACTTTCTTTGATAGGTTCAACTGAATCCTGTATATGACTTTGAAGGATTTTTCGAAAGGCGCTGAATGTCCTGCATTGATCAGACGTTCTATCACTGAACTACATACACGTTTTCGTTTTCCTTTTACTAGCCAGGCTGGATGGTGTTCACGAGTGCGTTTTTTAAGTCGGCGCATGTTACGGCCGATGTACTCAGCTCCACAAGAGCAAGTGAACTGGTATATCCACGTTGAGGTGGTCCAGTGCGATAGCTTGTCTTTCGCCTTCTGGATGAACAGTTTCTTACAGGAAAACATCAGTCGTAGGCTCGCGGCGAAGTATGTTTTCCTCAGCGATTTCGGGAGGCGTTTACGACGGATTTCTACTTCAATATCACCGTTGAATTCTAGATTAAGTAAAAGTATTTTCTTTGAAACGGATTGGACTTGTTCGGAAGTCTTTTTAGATTTGAGATTCTTTATCTATGAACCTGGGTGGGAAATTGTTTTCCATAGCGAATGATTGTGTCACTCACATATACTAAATATGCAATAATTTATTTAGTCACGTTATCTATTCTAAAACTTAATTAATTTCCCTCCTGCGTCATTATGCTTTTTTCTCACAGATAATACACCACAAGGTAAAAACAGATCTGAGTCTGTAAACTGCACACATCCCGTGAAACCTGCAAATTCAACAAAACAATCAACAGTCAGTTTGAAACCTCATCCTACCAGTCACCATCCATCACAGAAATACTTTCCAGTCGCTGAAAGTTTAGATTTAGCTACACGGTTGACAGCAATTACCAAGTCACCGAAATCATTCTCCGCCTGCCAATCCCTTGCTAAACATACAATGATTGCAGCTTTGAACTGCTCTCGAGCATTCACGGGTTTACAAAAATCACCGAATGAGAATCGTAATTCTGATGCCGGTGTAAACAGCAGCATACAGTCGAAATATTTAGAGGATAACTATCCAGAATTTAAAGAAATCATTCGCTCTTCACCGTCTAGTCCGAAGAAGTATTCAGAAGGATCAGTAATTAAGAATAAAGTAAGTACTTTTATATTCAATTATTGGTTTGAATGGATCTGATTGATTGGTTACAGGATTTCATCATGAACTGACATCGATTAGCAAAACCATTGGAAAACTAACAAGAAGCTCAGGAAAGTTGTTGCGCCAGCCTAGTTTTAGGCCCACTGGGGTTCGAATTGAGGACTTCCTGGTTATAAGTGAGTTCGTAAACCCTTAAGCCACTGGGACCCGATCTAATGGCCAGCCAGTCAGCCCATGAATTCCAACTTCTGCCAATTTACAATATAGCGCAACTACTAGCCAACGTCTTCGATGAATATTTGCCCTCAGGCCTGACCGGTTATACTCTGTACCCTCGCTTTGTAACCAGGAGGTCCTGGGTTCGAACCCCTGCGGGTGCGTGCTAATGAAGAGTCCCAAAGTAGGACGAAACAGATGTCTAGTACTTACAGTCGGCTTTCCAGTGGTTCTCTAACTTATGTCAGCTCATGATGAAATCCTGCGACTAAGTATTATGGATTACCTATTGATTGAAATGTTTGCTCCCAGTATGTCATGTAACAATAGGTCGAGATTGAAATAGATACCTTATTACATAACCTAGATATATGACACCAATTGCTGACTAGCCTCCAATCAAAGTATCTCTAAATCAACAGTCTATCTATAATATTGGTTACTTATGTTTCAAATGATTTTGTTATCAAAGCCGTTGATCCTGATCTGTAGATCTTTGTTGTAATGTTTGCTTATCTCCTTTTAACACTATCCTAAACTATTTGTCCTTGTTTTCCAGTTGATCCCTAAGTTGAATGCTTCTATTTTGCGTCTGCGCGATGGTGTTAATAATATAAATAACACGCGATTTTGATTCGACACTAGTAACTAGTGTGACGTGTCTAGTTCTTCCTTTGGTGCAGATGGAATTCTATCAGTCAGGTTTCGTAATGTGGCCATCATTCTAGTTAGCTCACCATCACGGTGATGATATTAGATGGTTGGAGGCAGTCTGCCACAGGTAGCCTTGGACTACCTAGGTTTCAAGCTAGTTGGCACTCGTCAGCAAGGCGTATCAGCAAACCTTGAAGGAGCTCATATCCCTTCTGAAATTTGAACCCGCGTACACCTTGATAGCGAGCTATCTAGAATGGTGGCCACATCACAGCGTCACTGATAGAATTTATTCTGCACCAAAGATAGGACTAGACAGAACACACTAGTTACTAGTGTCAAATCAAAATATCCACTACAGTCCTACAGGAGGTTAATCGCGAGCCAGCCCAAATAGCTCAGTGGTAACGTCTCTGACTGCAACACTGGTTGGTGACGTGGCTTCGAATCTCAGAAGCCACATGAGTTCCTTCAAGGCAGTTGCAGATACGCCTTGCTAACTACTGGTGAGTGCCAACTAGCACGAAACCTACATCATGGAGAGCTTCCTGCCGATTGCCTTTAACCATCTAATAACATGCTATTTTGTTTTCGTTGTGTTATGGATTGACTGCTTAGCCTTGTATTGCTGGAGATGAGGAAACGTGTTTTGTATTAATTTGGTTCAGACAGACAGACTCTTGATTCAACCTTGTTGGGAATATTCTTCCATTATGGATAAGAATTTATTTTGATAAATCACACAGTGTGTTATACAGGTATATTTACTGATGATCACGTCTCGAGTACAAGACACCACCCACATAACCTTCTTGTTTCGTTTATATGCATGAATAAAAAAAATTGACTAGACATATGAATAAAATCGATAAAAGACATGTTGTGAGACAGAAAAGAAGATAGGGTATATTCGGAAAGTTGTACGAGTGGTATCTTGAATATAATATATGGATTTCTCAGACCATGTATGTTTAATGTCATACAAACTCGAAGACTTCCAGGCAGGTGAAAACCAAAAAAAAACTTGCTGAAGAAGCAGTACTGCGAAGACAGGACTTCAGGTGAACATAGAGAAGACTGAGATGGTGAAGATATCCACACACACACTAACAACAACAACAACAACAACCAACATCTACCACTATCAATGGTAGAGAATTCAAAGAGGTGACTTTCTTCACTTATCCAGCTAAGAATCATGGCTTCAATCACAAGCAGTCGGAACGGATGAAGACGTTAAAGTCAGCCAGCTAGAGAGAGAGGATCGGAAAGTCGAGATACACCTTCATCAACCTGAAACCAGTTTGGAAATCTTCTGATTCATTCATTCAGTCAGCCAGCATAAGGAATAAAAGATTCGGATTCATTTCAACACAAATGTTCAATCAGTCAGTCAGACGGTTGCACTGAGTGCTACGAAAATGATTTCCAACTGCCAGTGGTACACTTTTATCAACAGCTTTTCGCTGGCTGGCTGGCTGGCTGGCTCCATACTGCGGATCAAATAGCCGGCTACCAGGCGGGCCACAAAAATAATTAGCAACAGCAAACTCTCCGAGGGAGGGTTCTATACACCAACTGAAGGCCGATTGCTAAATAAATAAGCGGGAGGAAGTGGACATGGATTGAGCAAACACGTTGAAGAGGCTATCGAATGACATTGCACTCAATGCAAGCCATTGCTCGAGTCAAATCCCAATTGGATTCGACGAGGAGGTGGTCAGTGCGATAGTGACATGGAGGTTTTCGTGCTAGGGGATGGCAGGAGAAGAGAGATTATCTCCAGTCTTTGAGCTAGCCAGATGAAGACGACAGTAGAGAATAAGACGAAGTGTTGAAGCCCTATATTCTACTCGGAACCCAAGGGAGTATTAATAGTAACAATAGCAACATTAATGAAAATATTTGTAAAAAATTATATTTGCTAAATCTCAGAGAGATTGAAAATGAGAAATTCCAACGTTTCCTGTGTTCCACACTCTGGTCCGAAATTCTTCACAGACATTAATCTAAACTAACATAACAGAGAAACATCTCTTGTTTTTAAAAACTCTGTCCAGTTATGTGTCACAAAACAAGTAATAACAAGTATAATTAACAAAATTGTATGAGCTGTGATCAAAATTTGACCTTCGACTTACAAATATTGATCTACCGACTTCAAGCCATATCAACGCCAACTGTCTCCAGCCGTTATTGGTTCATATCATCTCGAGGACTCCCACCACACTGAAAGTTTACACTTACCTAAGGGGTTGCCTTAAACTAACTGTTGTGGATTTCATTGTCTGATGCATAGGAAATCCTGATTAATAAATAAAAATGGATATGTATTACTAATTAATTAATAATACTTGGTCAAAACTGCCGACCGTCTATATCTTCTTATGGGGACGATGACCAGTGTTTTACAACTGTTTATCCGCACACGCATGCACACTCTGTTCAAAGTGTTTAACAAAGATAGACCAGTATTTGTAAGTCCGAGGTCAAATTTTGATCACAGCTGATTCAATTTTGTTTATTATACTTGTTGATGCTTGTTCTATTGTGGTGAGAGCTGGCTGCTAGCCAATTGGTAGACAATAATTTACGTCAGTGTCTAGGTCACTTATATTGACCGTGAGAAAGTATGAACAAGACTGATTCAACAACCAATCACAGCACACTTAACGTGGGCAAATAAGATTCGCAAATATATGGCTTAACTTTCCGAGAAACCAGTCACAAGCAGTACAGAATAACCTTGAGAAAAAAACAACCAATCAGAAGATTGTGTTTGTCTGCTTGAATAAGCTATAATAATGTACATGAAATATATATAAATACGTGCTGATTTCCGTAATAAAACAATCTGTTGCCTGGCCCTTGTCTTCTGTTGTTACACTATGACTCATGATTGGACAGAGTTTTTAAAAACAAGAGATGTTCCTCTGTTGTGTTCTGTTATGCTCCCTGAAGAAGTTCGGACCAGGTTGCTGAACGAATCGTTGGAAATATGCATTTCAATCTCTCTGAAATTTTACAAATATGATTTTTACAAATGTCTACTTCTCACCCGGCGCCCAAATATTTTAGAACTATTCTGTCAAATCTTGACGACAGTTCATTTGAAAATTATTTTGCAATCGAATTAAATTAACAAAGAAACTATGCTAATTGACACAAACATTGTGTTTTCACTCTCCGTTTTTCCGCAACAAAATGCATATCCTAAATTCGTAGCTGTCGAGTTACCTGACAATTTCAGCAGGTCGAATAAAGCAGCTCAACCTTCCGAAAGAAGACAAAGCAATACGTTTGACAGACACCATAATTTTGAAAATACGTCTAAAAATAAAATTCTAGATATTAACAGTTTGAACAGACATGAAGGTGTGATATGTGTTAGCTGATGCATAGGAAATCCTGTTCAATAAACAAGAATGGATATGTATTACTAACTAAAATAATACTTGGTCAAAATTCCCGACTGTGCATATCTTCTTATGGAGACGTTAAGAAATTGTTTCACAACTGTTTACCCACACACACACACACACTGTGTTTAAAGTGTTTAACAAAGGTAGACCAAGGTTAAATTTTGATCACAGATCATACAATTTTGTTAATTATACTTGTTAATACTTGTTATAATAGAGGTTTTTTTTTGTATTTCCCAATGAATGAAAAAACAAAACGAGATTGTTTTTACTGACGTTTCGCTATTTAATGCTAATAGCTTTCTCAAAGTATTATTAAACCGGAATTTACAAAATCTCAGCATATATATAACAAAGAATTAGGGGGTGAGAAAAATATAGACTTAGTTCAACTTAAAAGGACATATTGAAAGTCAAAATAACAATGAAGATCGTTCAAACCAAATATCAAAGGTAATAGTATATCTGTTATTATATCAAAATAAAGTTTACTAACTTGATCATCGTTCGTTAGTCTGGGGTCATTTTTGGTTGTCAAGTTCGAGAATAGGTAAAGGTAACCAAACTAAGTGTAGAATGTGAAATACTTGATTATCGTTCGTCAGTATGAGGTCATTTTGGTTGTCATGTTGGGGAGTAGGTAAAGGTAACTAAACTAAGTGTAGGCTGTGAAATACTTGATCATCATTCATCAGTCTGGGTCGTTTTTTGTTGTCAAGTTAGCGAACTGGTAAAGATAGTAAAACCAAGTGTAGATTGTTGGATTTTGTCAGTGTGTAGAATTATGAAAGTAGTGTGCGTTTACATAGTGAACTTGCTCACCACATTTGCGTTGATTTTGCTACTTCATGGGGGAGGGTGTTGTAGCCAGGTTAGATTCTGTTTCAGTCCATCATTCCTATTCAGGCAATTTGGATTCCACTTGATATGAAGTGCTTCTGATATTAGACGTTCTTTGTGGTTTCTGAAGTTTTTCTGGATTATTTCAATATTATCAAAATCAATTTTGTGGCCTGATTCTATAGCATGTAGACCTATGGCTGATGATTTTTGAAGTTTTTCCAGTTCAACTGGATTTCTTGGTGGTCGAAGAGAAGCTCTACGGTGTTCATTTCTTCTGATTTTGATTTCTCGAGATGTTTGTCCGATGTAGATCGCATCACATTCCGAGCATTTTATTTTGTAGACACAATTAGATAGAGAATCTTTCGGGATTTGGTCTTTTATATGGACAAGGTTGTTTTGAAGTGTGTCCGATGTTTTGAAGAAAACTCTAATGTCGAGTTGATTAAGTACTCTTCTGATATCGTCTGATGGCTCTGCTCTATATGGAATGACGACTGTTGAAGTCCATGTTTTCGGAATGCATTTTCGGCCATACTTAATGTCTGTGTTGATTTTGTTGATGAAGTTCGTTGGGTAGTTGTTTTGCTTGAGAGTTTTAGTGATGTTTGAAATTTCTTCTTCTTTTTCTTGCTCATCTGTTATCAGGGAGTGTGCTCGTCTAAGAAGACTTGAAACAACTGAAATCTTTGCGCTGATGGGGTGTGATGATTTGAAGTCTAAATATTTGTTGGAGTGGGTTTTCTTCCTGAATATGGATATACTAAAATGTCCGTTTTCCTTTCTCTTAACTAGGCAGTCTAGAAATGGAAGTTCACCGATGTCTGATTCTGCTTCCGAAGTGAACTGGATTTTGGGAGATACACAGTTTATTTTCTCCAGGAATGAATTGTGTAGATCCCGTTTTAGTACTACAAAAGTATCATCCACATATCTTAACCATATTTTAGGAGTGAGTATGCTTGAAAAGATATTATTTTCGAATTTATTCATGTAAAGATCGGCGACTATTGGCGAGACTGGTGAACCCATAGCAACACCATTTGTCTGTCTATATAAACTCCCTTTGAATGTAAAATAATTACTTTCCAGACAGAATTTGGATATATATAATTGTTAATACTTGTTTTATGACACATAATTGGACAGAGTTTTTAAAAACAAGAGATGTTCCTCTGTTATGTTAGTTTAGATTAATGTCTGTGAAGAATTTCGGACCAGAGTGTGGAACACAGGAAACGTTGGAATTTTTCATTTTCAATCTCTCTGAGATTTTACCAATATAATTATTTTTACAAATGTCTACTTCTCACTTGGCGCCCAAATATTTTAGAACTATTCTGTCAAATCTTGACGACAGACAATGCATGTGAATTAATTAAAACAGTAATAATGATACTTATTAGAATAATATTAAAACTTTAATTTCTTTCCCTTACCATTGCTTTACTGTTTAGAACACAAAACCAAATGTAAACATTCATGATGCCTCACAGACCCGTGAAAATGATAATATCAAGTTATCCCCAAAGTTTTCCACTGAAAGTAGAACAACTCCAGAAGTTGTTTCAACACGTGAAAGTCCAGCAGAGGCAAGACGATCTGTTCCAAGTTTCAGGTCAACCAGACCCATGAGTTCAGTTGAAATAATAAGACAAAAGAAAACAGATACTGTTGTCAATGAACAAGTGAGTGACAATAGAAAGAAAAACAAATTTCTTTTAAAATTTGTATACTACTTATTACTCAATAAGTACTACTCATATGGGTATAGCACTTGGGCACTGTAGTAGTAGAATGTGGTCCCATTTTAACAAGTAGGTGACTTTAATTCATCTCATTCAGAATCGATAAAGATAGGTTAGTTTGGTCAAATTTTTATATAATCTGGTCAGGAAAGAGCCTAACTCTCAATGGCTAGGTCTCACAGCTATAGAGGAAGACGGAGCGGACTGCTTAGCAGTGCACTCGCCCTTTGGTTGACAGCTGGATATCACGTCTACTCCAGAGACAGTGTAAACTGGCATATGTGCGAAACTAGCCTTGTGTATCCGTGCTGAGATTTCGTCAGAGATCAACCCGTTGGCGTTGGGGCTGATGCAACTTCCCAAATAAGTGAAGCGGTCAACGTGCTCCTCTACCACTTTACTCCCTATTTCTAAACTAGGTAGGAGTCAGTGTAGTCCAGTTTAGTCCCGTAACATCACCTTACATTTGGTGGGAGCGAATCGCATGCCAAACATTCGTAGATTGCGGCTCAAGGTGTTCAGAAGACTCTGGTTTTTGTCAGCGTCCTCGTCTAGAAGGACTATATCACTGTCTGCATATTCTAAGTCAACGAGATTATCCCTCCCTGGTAGCAAGTCAATCCCTGAGCCTCTGAAGTGAGTTCGGTTAAGTCCATTAGTACATCTATGATGAAATTGAATAGAAAAGGGGATAATGGGCATCCCTGACGGACACCACTAGTTGTCACTACTTCAGATTACAACTCGCCGTAACCTCTCACCTACCTGCATGAATACGAGTAGAGTGCCTTAATCAGTGCAATGTATTTTCTCGGCATTCCTTTTACAGGCAAGCATTACCAGAGTACCTCTCGGTCGACAGAATCGAATGCCGCCTTTAGGTAAAAAATATAACGATCGTTGAACGCTGGGAAGTATGCTTATCTTCGAGAATTTGTTGAAGGGTGAAAATATGGTCAATACACCCTCTTCCTGGTCTAAAGCCTGCACCACTTAGTCTACGCATGATTATTCAGCCTAGGACTTCAGATACAATATTAGTCAAGCTCATCTCCCTGTGGCTATCACAGGAAGACTTGTGTCTCTTCTTATACATGGGCATAATCAGTGACTTACACCAACCCGACGAGACTTCCTTTGATTCCCAGATGCTGCCTAGTACCTCAGTTAATGCAGACAGTAAACTGTCTCCACCGTACTTAAATACCTCTAGAGTCATTCCATCAGGTCCTACTGCTTTACCTCGTTTCAAATAAGAGACAGCATTTGTAACCACAATTATAGATGGAGAACCGGTGTTTATATCCCATTCAGAGAGGTGTTGGATGCTCAGTAGGTTGAGCGTGAATGTATACCAGTTTAATTTCTCTTCAAAATGTTCCCTCCAACGTTCTAGCAGTCTATCCTGAGGGCTAATTAGGGCGCGGTTTTTCTCAGATATTTTCTCACTCATCATTTGCTATTCGCTACCTGTCTCCCTGATAAGTCTAAATAGTTGTCCGGTGTTACCTATCTCTGATGCCTTCTCCATCTCTTTTGCTTCTGTTGCTCACCACTGTTCAAGGTTGTTGCGAAGACTTCTTGTTAGTTTGCGTTCGCTCCTCACCGTATTCGGAGCTCACTGGAATCAGTCTTCTTGTCTTAATCAGTTCAGGTGAGGTGGTAGAAATCCACTGGCTTTTACTAGCTTTTGGTTTAAGGTTATTAACAGCCCTTACATCTATGTCTACAGCTAATTGTATGTTGTTCCAGGCTTCCTCAGGAAGAGTCCTGCTGTCGATCTTAGGTACGCGTTTATCTATTTCTCCATTGGTGCGTTGGTGACACAGAGGTTAGGAATCTCGCCGACCATGCACATGGTCCGAGGTTTGATACCGTGCCGACGCACAGCTGATATTAATGATCGGCTACCCATATAACATGCCAAAAATTCCATACATAAATCATATGGAACTGGAATCCTCTGTAGTACTGCTGTATATAGAAAGAACGTCAGAGGACTTACGTAAGATTCTCAATGAGACTAGAATTAATCGGAATGCCATTTAAGTTAACCAATCAACCAACTCACTCAGAGATAAACTTTGCCGGTCTAAGGACCCAATAGATCCGATTAAGAAAAAATACCAAATACCATGTAATGACTGTCAGTGAAGTTAATTACACATAGGTCAAACCAGTAGTAGACAGGGGTCAACTAGATTACTGGAACATAAAAATCTAACTAAACACCTAGAATGATTGACACTGATAAGTTAATTAAGCTGAAAAAAACGGAACTCAACCATTGCACTGCATTCACTTGCATATAATCACCACATAATTGAGTGAATGGGACAGAGTGAGAGTAGTAAAAAGTAATACAGTTAGGTGGAGACAGTGGGGGGGGGTTAACCACTGAATCTTTCTTTGTTTATCAGTTCAACATCTAAGCAGAAATTTTGCCTGGGTAATCATCATTGAAATTCTAGATAACAGCTGTGTACTGTATAGTTGTGAGGCATGGCCATTGAGGCTGGGAGACATTAAAAGGCCAGCTAGCTGTCTTTGATCAGATGTATCTGCATTCTATCTCTCGTGTTAAGTAGTACGACAGGGTAAGTAATGCTGAGGTTAGGCGTCGAGCATTAAGTAAGCAGTGAAAGTCAATCGACAAGGATTTGAAGCAGCTGTATCGATTGAGATGGTTAAGACGTGTGTTATGAATGCCGCCTAGCTATCGCCTTCCTCGACGGACAATGTTAGCTGACTGAAGTAAGATCAGGTTCGTAATAATAATAATAATAGCGACAGAGACAACAATAACTATGGCGTGCATGGCAAAAATGCATCAAAATGATGACGACATCTCCACCAACAAAAATAAGGAAATTAAATCATCAACAGTAATTTCATACAAAGAAGGAATCTCAGAAACCTCCTCATGTAGAATTCTTAACAATGTAGGCAGGCAGGCAGGCAGGAACAGAAGGGGCATTCAATCACCCATAAACTAACTCAGAAACAAATTATGTCGGTCAAAGCTTCCAACAGCCTACACTGATTGTCAGGTCAAATACACATGCTCGATTAGTAGGTATGGGATCAATCAGACTAGCAGAGCACCAAAATCTAGATTAGTTGACCCTAATAAGATAAGAAATCTGGAGAATAGTTCAAATATATATATATATATATATATATATATATCACTACATGCAGTTACACACAACCATACAATAGGATGGGATAAGATGACAGTCTTAGAAGCTCTCATGCGATAGATTGGAGGGAAAGATTGATAACTGAGGCCTTATTCATCGAATCACCTGCGAAAACCTTTAATAGAAATGACTGAACATATGTCCTGGCTATCTGGAAGATTCGACTACCTCCAAGATCAAAAGAGAGGAATAAAGGAAACTATATAATGAAAGGTCCAAAGTTGTGTGGTCACAATTAATCATATGATTATGAACAATAATGAATTGTAATTTAATTGGTGGATGGTGACAAGCAGTGGAATCCACGAGGATGCGCTATTCGTTCTATTTGGGACTTGTCATCTGGATGTGCCCAAATAGTCCCAAATAGGAGGAAATGCGCATACTGGCTTGATTCCACTGCTAGTCCCCATCTACCAATCAAATTCTAATTACATGCCTAGACATCGTCGAAGCATGTGCACAAAAGCTGACATGCCAACCTGAGACCGAGCACTTCGGTCTAATCAATCGACGGGAAAATCTAAAATTCAATTAAATAATAAATTGTGTTCGGAACCTCTCCATCCGGTAAATAATACTGTTTCAGCGTGTCTGATATATATATGTATATAACAAACGAATTAATATGGAATTCCATACTACCACAGTGTCCAATTTCTACAACATATACTGATATTTACATCATAAATGAATAACTTGGATCTTTTTGAAACGATTATTATTACTACTAATGTATATTACGGTATTTAGATTTGATTATATACAAAACAAAATTTTGAGATTTCATTCTGTCAACAAAACATCTTATAACCTTTTCAGCGTAAACTTGTACGTAAAACCAACAAAGGACAAGATTCCAATAACTCAGAAGAAGGTAGACACCATCAAGAAACTCTTCAGCCATCATCGTCTTCAGTAACAAATACCAATAGCCAGACTTCACCATCTGATATTATGGTAAAAGAAAGACAAGATTCATTAATCCCTCAACAGCTGGGTATTGGTGATTGTGCCAGAGGCTCCGTTGTATCTTGTAAGTATTTTCCCTTTTATATATATATATATATATATATATACATATGGTTTTGAAAATTGTTCATACATATTTGACTGATTGGAGGATTTTATCATGAGCTGATGTCGCTTAGAGAACCATCGGAAAACCAGCTGGAAGCACTGGATAGCTGTTTCGTCCTGATTTGGGACTCTTCATCGGTACGACATTCTGGTTACAAGGCGAGCTAGCTCGTAGACCATTAAGCCACTGGGACCCGCCAGTCCATGAATTCTGACTTCTACCAGTTCATGACATATCGCGACTAGTTAGCAATGTCTTCTTCGATGAGTTACTGCCTCACCTTCAACTTACTCTGCCCTACTGGTCACGGTTTCCCACTAGAACCTGAGGTAACTTCCTGAGTAGGGCCAGTTTCTAGTGAGCATCATATCACTTTTCAAATATTGGTTTTGTAGGGATTTTGTTTGTTTTATTGGTCGGAGGATTTTATACATGTATTTGAGAGAGGAATTATTCTGCAGAATTCTTACTGTGATTTCATATAAATTATTTACTCTCTGTAAGGAATCTTAGAGTAAAATATTCATCAGTTAGCATCCTGAATGATACAACGTCATTCTATTTGAAATAAGACTTAGTCCTCTAAGACAGTTTCTCTTCGTCTTCTCCTTTAAATGTGTACACACCGATAGGTTGGAAGTTAATTAAAAGTTTACGCGAGCTCATGTTGCCATCCGAAGTGTGTGTGTTGACTGCCGATTCACTTGAATACAAGGCTTTTAAAAATTCTCTGGCACCATTTCTGTATTCCTTGAGATGAAGATTTGAATATTATCCTGATTGAAATGGTATCTGTGGTTGTCTTCTGCATGTGTTGATGTGAGACAGATATCGCGTCTTTTGATGGCTAGTTTATGCTCATGGTTGCGAAGAAGAGGAGGATGTCCACAGTCGTTGCAACTTATCTTGTAGATGATGTTGATTATCCCAGAGACAATGAGGAAAGGCTAAAAAAGATCAATCCGTAAATCAAATCCTCCTTCGGTGTGGAGACGAAAGGAGATTTAAATGTTTTATTCTCTTTGCATAAGGTAGTTGTAAGATACCATTAACTAATTCGATTCCTCCCTTGTGTACTCATTCCAAGATATGCGCCTCTTTCCTAAAGTATGGATTAGTTGCATGTATACAGTTTTCTAGGTGGGGTCTAGCATAAGGTGCGTGGAGTTCTTTCAACATAGACTGATCTATTCGTTGGAAAGCCTTTCGAAGTGCCTATAGCATTCGGAAAGTCTTAGTTGCAGCTGCATTACAATATCCAATTTCTCCCAAATCCTGGCTGATAATAATTCCTTATACATATGTATATATACATAAATTAGGGAGGATTCGAAGAAGTTTACTTCATGCTAACTCCCGCCTTGAAGATACTGTTGTAGTATGTGCTACTGTGAAGAGACGTTTATTGGCATAAAAATATCAAATAGGAGAGAGAGATTTGACGTCAGAGAGCGGGAAATGAACAATCAGTATTGCGGAGAAACGCGAGAGACGGCAGAAGTAGTATAGCAAGGAACCTCTGTGCACATGACAATTTTCATATAGGCCGTAAATAATTTTACCTATATAGAGGTGTCAGACTGCAAAATAAACACTCCATTACCAAGTCTCTTGTCTTTTGCCATCGCATCTGATGCAGCTGCCTCCAAACACTGAAGGTCCCGTGTCCTACCGCTTTCGAAGAAGGAGACATTCAGAGCATCTTGAGCTGATAAGTTAGTGGGCATCAGGGATCCAACGACAAAAGCAGTTGTGTTTGGGACGCTTCTGAGAGGGTGGGTAGAAGCGGCGTACGAAACTGTGTAGGAGTCAGGTGCTAAAGAGACTCGGGAAGTATTGGTTGAACGATTGGTAGCGGAGGTCTACAGACCGACAGATAGCCAGCTGGTGATGCAGCAGTTCAGCTCTGGTACCTGAAGGAGAACCACTAGTTCTGTCTGTAAAGCTGACGAACCTACTACGTCTTGCACTACCCACACTGGACGAAGAGTCAGTTTATTGAGAGTGTGTTCCAGACCACATTCATCAGCAACTACAACTGGTTAAGTCTGCACAACCCATGGACATTGGTAAGCCAGTAAAAGTGACTAGACAGCTGTTGAGCACAATGGTAGCCGTAACAGAGCCACTGAAATCAAGGCAGTGGAAATGGAAAATTAGTGATTTGAAGCGTGAAGTGGCGGCGCTATGAATGAGTGCCTAGAAAGACTGATGCTTTCAATGTGGCAAATTAGGACACTAGAAGAGGTACTACCCAGAAAGACGAGGAAGATAAAAATGTTTAAATATTGTAATTTGTGTTCTTTCTCTCCTATAAGACCAGAAGTAGTGGAGCTATCGAATGGGAGGAGGGCATGTACTCTAATTTGTAAGGGATAGGCCAAGCAGTAGTGTTTATTAGATAGAGGAGGGAGCAGTTTCACTAATAGATAAGAGAGACAATGAGCGCCTCACAATTATGAAATATTCAGCTCAGAGAATACAATTACACCGATTTACTCCAGAAGTCATTTGGTGGATGGTGACCACCAGTGGAATCCAAGATGAGCATTTCATCCTACTTGGGACTCATCATCTGGATATGCTTTCATTTCCCAGTGAATGATGGAGTTCCCACCGAGGCTCGAACCCAATGACTATAGTTTCGAAGGCCAAAACATTATTCACTAGACCATTTGGGTTACGAGAACTACCTCTTGTGCAAAGGGTCTTATTAATTACTTAATTCAATATAGGTACATCCAACTGACGAGTCCTAGATGGGACGAAACGCTGAATTATACTGCTAGTCGCCATCTACGAGCTGACTTCAAGTCTCATAACCAGACATTGTTGAAACATCTACATAAAGAACGGATATGTCAACCTGAGACCGAGCACTTCGGTTCGATAAATCGATGGGAAAAAACCTAAGACTGCATAAAACCGATCTACTTTCTTTTGATAGAATAAAAAAGACATTAAAGCACCTATTACACGTTTACCAAGATCCTAAAAGAATAAATTTTTGAATCGATTTTTATTTTTCTTTCTTCTTTTTCAGGGTCTGGTGTATCACATATTTCCAAGCCTAAACGTCCATCAGTTTTCTCTTGTCCTGAGGCAGAATTTGAATCTCCAAGATCAAGTGTTATTCATCCATCGTTAGGTGAACTAGCATCGAACAAGAGAACTAGACCAGGTGCAGTAGTCACATCTTCAAGAAGATCGAAACGACGGTAATTATTCAAAATAAATGTTTACATATATGTTTCATTTCGTTCCTGTAACTAAGTGAAACTGTCGAGGTACAGATTTATTCATTGTTCAGTATACCTGTTCAATTAGAGCACTCCTTATTGATCTACTGTTACGCTTTCATTAGCCAAACGGAATAATGAAAACAAAACACGTAGTTCAGTGAAGAGTCTCTCTTCGGCGGCGAATTCATTCACGCGTAGCTGTACAATCGCAATTATATATGTGGGTTATTTTGTATGTATGTGTACATTAAGTTTCTCAAACAAAAATAGACAATTGGTTATGATTATTTTAACCAAACAGGTGAGGATTGATAATACAAGTCAAGAAAATTAGGTGGCAATGAAATTAGGGTAGCTAACAAAGGTGATGAGTTGTCACAAACAGTTGTTAAAAAAGAAGTTATGTAATAACAATATGAATAGTTTGATGAGTGAGTTTTACTCAGGATGCACATAAGAACAAAGTAGAAAATGCGAAATTACGTAAGAGTTCCAAATGCATACACGAATTATAAGCAATTAAAGAACAGGCAAAGAAACAAAATTAAATCATCAAAAATCAACAAAGTTGTTACCATGATAGTAGAAGTGGTTGAGTAATCCTCTTTTGTATACGCAGCTCCGGTTTTTCTATATGAATGGCCAGAGCTTCAGCGATACAAAAAAGACGAAACCGTATTGCCTTTGATAGGTTATTTTTGACTCTGTAGATTACTTTGAAGCAGGAGGCGTTTGTAGTTGAGATGGAATGAACAGTGTTAATCAAGTGTTCAATTATCGCATCCCCTATTGCACTACTATTGCCTTTTCGCAACCATCTTGGCTGGATAGTGTTCTTGAATCCTCTTGGACAGGGTGCGCGTCGAACGACCGATGTAGCTAACCTGCTCCACAGCAACAGGTGAACTGATATATGCACATAGAAGTGGCCAGATGCCGGATCTTGTCCTTGAAGCTTCTGCAGATCAGTGGGTGACTACTCGAGAACACTATTCTTAGCGTTGCTGTAAAGAATGTTCTTCTCAGAGATGATGTGATCATTCTCTTGACAATATCGCCTGCTAAATCTCCCTTGAAATCCAAGTTCATGTAGAGTTTCTTTTAAGGCGCAATTAAAGTTTCGTAAAACTCACCCATCAAACTATTCATATTGTTATTACATAACTTCTTTTTTAACAACTGTTTGTGACAACTCATCACCTTTGTTAGCTACCCTAATTTCATTGCCACCTAATTTTCTTGACTTGTATTATCAATCCTCACCTGTTTGGTTAAAATAATCATAACCAATTGTCTATTTTTGTTTGAGAAACTTAATGTACACATACATACAAAATAACCCACATATATAATTGCGATTGTACAGCTACGCGTGAATGAATTCGCTACCGAAAATAGGCTCTTTTCTGAACTAAGTGTTTAGTTTTTATTGTTGGCTGGTTGGGTATTATCCATGAATTAAAACGGAATAACGTTCTTCAACTGTTTTTGATAAAACACGTATTGAACGATCTATATATCTGCTTCGTTCCACATGAGCAGGTAAATTGGTAGATACACACAGAAGTGGTCAAATGCGATGGTTTATTGATTTCAGAAGAGATATCATCAAAAAGTGATATTAGCTAAAGAACTATTTAGATGTTGTTTAATAAATGGTGACTAGTAATGTGAGATCCAGGATGAGCATTTCGTAAGGTTTAGGACTCATACCATCTGGATTTACCTACTGTCTCCAGTGGGTGACAATGTCCCTAGTGAGACACGGACTTTGCAGTCACTGTTTCAAACTCAAAAACGTTATCCCCTGAAACACTTGGATCACAAAAGGCCATTATTTCTTGTCCAAAGCGTATCAGTTATTGTTTGCCTACTTAAATGTTGTCTTTACCATTGATTTATTGAACCGAGGTGTACGGTATATGTTGTCAAGAAAATACATGAGTAATCCTTATTTAGTGTTAAGGAACTTAATCCTAAGTTCCTACTGTAATGAAGACGCCCCTAATCAATAATTACTAAAACTTTCTCGACTTTAACTCCAAAATAGCAGTACTTTAAGAAATTCGTATTGTTTGGCAGTTAAAGTCTGGATAAGTACAAGTCTATAAACAAATGTTTTTCTGCAGGAAATCTATTGTACTTTTACTCATATTCTTTCGCCTTCTTCCATCTTGTGCAAGATTGAACCATTCGCGCCTTCGAGTCGCCCGCCAATGGCTACCTATTCCCAATAAACAAACGTTCAATGTTCACGTCTGTTGACATTCAGACACTAATGAAACAAAACACGTAGTTCAGCAGAGTCTATTTTCGGCGACGAATTTATTCACACTCAGCTGTACAGCTGCAATTATATATAATAATTTTAGGGTTACAGGATTTCATCAAGAGCTGACATCGGTTAGAGAACCATCGAAAAAAACTGGCTTTATGGTATACCAACTCCTGGTCCTGGGTTTGAACCCCGTGTGGGGTACATACTGCTGAAGAGTCCCAAACTAGGCTAGAGAAACACCTGTCAAGTACCAAAGTCAGCTCGTGCTGAAATCCTGTAACCAACCAATCATACAATCCATACAAATCTTTACTTGAATAATTATTTCTGTATGTGTGTATGTGTACACTAGGTTTGTCAGACACGGATCAAAAATTAGTTTAGTTTATCGCTTACGTCATCAAAACATTTCAAAAAATGTGATGAATAATCAAATTGTAACTGGTTGTGGGGTGGGGAGAAGCGGAAGAAGATTCGTAAGAGGGTTGTAGTGAGAAGTTGTCAACGCATAAAAGAATTTAAATAAGTGTATTATATTTAAAACAATTAGTTCCCTTTATGAATTTAGATAGATAAGGCAATAAGAAGACGTATTTTGTCTGAATCGTTTAATGCTGCATTTGCGCAACACATTTCCAACAATCCAATGCATCACACACACGGATTTGTCACAGGAATATTATTATTATTATTGTATCCTTTAGTTCCTAGAGGAACATAGGGCTTCAGCTGCGCACCTCCATAGACTTCGGTTTTCTGACAACTTTTTCACCCTGCTCCAGGTCTGTCCACATGCTTTCATCTCCTCCTCGCATGACCTCCTCCAAGTCACCCTTGGACGACCAACTCGCCGCCTCCCTTTCGGGTTCGACTCGAGCAATGGCTTGTCTAGTGATGTCACTTGATGGTTTCCTCAGCGTATGGCCAATCCATCTCCATTTCTTTCTGCCTATTTGTTTCACAATCGGTTCCTGATTGGTTCGCTCCCAGAGATCCCTGTTGCTGATCTTTTCTGGCCATCTGATCTTGAGTATTGAGCGGAGACAGTTGTTAATGAAGGTTTGAAGTTTGTTTGAGATGCTCTTTATGACTCGCCAAGTCTCTGATCCGTATAGTAGCACTGACTTCACATTGGAGTTGAAAATCCGGATCTTATCTTTGATGCTGATTGCTGTTGACCTCCACACAGATTTGAGAGTAATGAAAGCTTGTCTTGCTTTTCCGATTCTGGCTTTGATGTCCTCGTCAGTTCCGCCTGTAGTTGAGACGATGCTTCCCAGGTAGGTGAAGGAGGTTGTCACAGGAATATATATGAAATTAATAAAGAGGTAAGAGATGAGAAAACAGACTATTTAGGTCAAGTTAAAAGGCTACCATATTGAAGGTAAAAATAACAATGAAGACCACCAAACCAAATAGCAGAGGTAATACCATATCTATCCTGATATACATTTGCTATGGTATCAAAATAAAAATTTACCAAAGAAGGTGGTTTAATATGATGACGAATTGTTGCTTTGAACTCATAAAGGTGGCTTAAACTTTCTTATTGCTAACTAGAGCTTCCACAAACCTTAGGATACGCCCTAAACACATTTTATAGATAGGTTTAAAAGATCTGTTAACATCAATTTCATGTCCTGTCTTTGTAATATGTCTCGCTACAGAAGAGCTAGGTCTCCTGTTCTCGTCGTTAATAGGTTCTGAAGAATCCATTTGTTTCCGAAGCCATTTAGAAATATGCTCTGAAGCCAGTGCTTACTTGGAGAGATCGATAAGTCCTCCCTCCTATGTATGCGTTTCCACGCGTATATTCAAATTGGTAAATCCAGTGGGATGTGATGTCATTTTTCGCATGTTCGAAGGGCTTAGATAGATGGATATATTGGCTTCATATTCTCTAATATTATGATATTAGCTGTATAAAAAGTCTTTTTAACCACAACAGCGTTCAATCTTTGTTTAGTTATCAAGCTGCTTTGATGCCCCATATAGAGTAGGCAGCTTGATGTACACGTCTTTCTTAGGGACGAGTTAAAAGAGTGGTTCTTGGTGTTCCACTGAACACATTTTATCTCCGGATGAACTTTTCTGGATAACTATTATGGCAACCATAGTTTGTGTCAACTTTCTTTCTTCTTTATCAAGTGCACAAATACATTACACGATTCAGACAAGTTACATATTATTGCTTTATCTAAGTGTATTATAGTTACGTAATAAGATGAATAATTCAGTGAGATGTGATTTGGATGAACATAGCAACAAAAGGTAAATATGGAATTATGTAAGAGTTCTAAAGAGAGAGAGAGAGACAAGAGTTAGAAGGAGTTAGAAGAAGCAAACAAAAAAATGTCAAGTCAGTATAAATCAAAGAGGTTGTTACGATGATAGTAAAAATGGCTGATTGAATGATTTTATTTTTGTATGCATAACTTTGGTATTCTTAGCTGAAATGGCTTAGGCCTCGATCAATACAAGGGAGGGAGGTTATTCTTCACTTCATGGATAAGATGCTTTGAAAAAGGCATTTTGCTGAGATGAAATGACCTTTGTGGACAAGAAGTTCGGTTACCTAACTCCCTGTGGAGCCACTACTACCTTTTTGTAGTCATGCGGTAGAAAAGTGTTCTTCAACTCTTTTTTCACAGGGTCCGCGTAGAACAACCAATTCATCTGGCTCCAAAGGAACAGGTGAACTGATATTGTATGCATATGGCGGTAGTCAGATGTAAAATGTTGTCCTTAAGACTTAAACAGAAAGTAACTGATATTTGTTGGATGTGACATGACTTTTATGACTCAAGTGGTCTAGTGGATGATGCTACTACGTTTGAATTTGATCAAGCAATACCATCACTCCCTTGAGAATGCAGATGCATCCACTAACTGATGAGCCTTGAATGGGATAAAATGAGCATCGTGGATCCCAATGACAGTTACTATTCACCGAATAAAATTCCGTTAATCCACAGACATCGCCAAAGCATACATATTAGGACCTAACATTTCAATGAATCCATGAGAAATAGGATAACTTTTCAGAAGTGCGTCGGTGGCACAGTGGTTAGGACTCTCGCCGATCATGCACATGGTCTGAGGTTTGATCCCCTGCCGACATACACATGATATCAATGGTCAGCCTGCGAAATTTGGGCTACCGATATCCATGCTGAAAATTCCATGATTGAACCAAAAATACAGTGTGGAATCAAGCTGTAATCGAAAAATAAATAAGATTCGTGGAACGAAATGGCCTGGATATGCAATATTAGGGGTTTATTAATCTCAGCTGATAAAATTCAATCAACACTTAGACTGTGGACTAGACATATGCAATTTTTTGACCCTCAATGACTAATCGGTCCCACAGAAGATCAACCACTAGCCTTAATGATAACATCTATGACTGAAGCACTGGGTGGCTCAGGTTCAAATCTCCAAAGTGAACATCACTTTCTCCACCCCCCCCACGCCGTCATTTAACCACCCAGGTTGTAGACATGCCTTACTGACGCCCATTAACAGATACCAAATCTAGGTCCATGGCTTTTCGCAGATTATTATTAACCATTCAACAACAATGAAGCTATTTTTGGCTGATGCTTGCCAGTAGGGGAATTCAGGATGTGCATTCAGCTACTCTTTGGGTCTCGTCTCAGCTGGATGTATATGTAGTCTCTGGTAAATGACTGTAACCACTGAAACCATCAAATCGAACGCCAAAAGAATCACTAGAGCCATACTTTGTGCCACAAGTATCAGCAATCGCATTGTCCTCTCATATTCATCGTCCAGTAATTATGTTAGACCTAAGTGCTCCGTCTCTATTGACCTGGTTACAACACACTTGTGATAGGCCATTCTCATTATGTAAACACTTGCTGTTCCTATAACTTTATTATCATTGTTTCCTTTAGTTCCTGGTGGAACATAGGGCTTCAGACGCACGCCTCAGTTGCGTTCAGTTCTCTGCCAAAATTTTCACCCAGCTCAACGTCTGTTCACGTGATTTCATCTCCTCTTCGCATCACCTCCTCCATGTCACCCGACCCTCTCACTGAAGACCAACTCTCCGCTTCCCATTCAGGTTCCACTCGAGCGATGACCTGGCATGTGATTTCAGTTGGTGGTTTGTTTTCTTGAGAGTATGACCAACCCACCTCCATATCTTCCTGCATATTTGTTGCACAATCTGTTCCTGCTGGGTTGGTTAGTTCATTGCCAGAGATCCCTGTTGCTGACCTGTTCTCGTCGGCCATCTGATCTTGAGTAGGCTTGAGCAAAGACAGTTGTTGATGAAAGTCTGTAGTTTGTTTGAAGTCCTCTTCATGACGTGCCACGTCTCTGACCCATAAAGTATCAAAGACTTCACACTGGATTTGAAAATCCGGATCTTATTTTTCGTGCTGAGTGTTGACCTCTATAGAGACTTGAGAGTAATGAAAGCTTGACTTGCTTTGATATCCTCATCAGTTCCATGTGCTTGTAGTTGAAACGATACTTCCCAGCTAGGTAGGTAGGTAGGTAGGTAAAAGAGGTTGCTTCTTTCAGATATTTCTCATTTATGCTGATTGTTGTCTGTTATTGTTGTTGTTGCTGTTGCTGATGGCCAGGAATCTTCCTTCCCAACCTAACTCTGTTTTATCTATATTCCCCTGAAGGCTTCATCTGTCTCCAACGTGTTGCTTTCCACTTGCATATCTTACAGTTTGTGGGAAGTCAGACATACATATTTCATCGGTGAAGTCCAGATTCAGAAAGTTTTTGTGTGAGTCCATTTTATGCCTGTCTGCTCGACGCCCACTGTCTGTCTGTCTGTCTGTCTATCGCATTATCCAGTCTATCACAATCAGGAAATTAATCATTGGAGATAGTAGGCAGTCAGCTTATCTTATTCCCCGTTATAACTTTATACGCTTATCTAATTCAACAATAATCTACACCTGGTTTTGCTATCTTTACCAATTGGTCAAACTGACAACAATGCAAAAACTACATCATGTTGATGAACGGTGATTAAGCTGTTATATAAAAACTGGAATCTTGCAGATTCTGGTTTAATAATACTTTGACAAAGCTATAAGCAGTACTGTATAGCGAAATGTCATTAAAAACAATAATATCATTTTGTTTTTTCATTCATTGGGAAATACAAAAAAACCTTTTTCAATGGTTCCCGCTCTAACTGATATCAACCCGTGATCAACTCGCAAAAAACAAAAAAAACTATTCAAGTGTTGGTTTGTAGGGATTTGATTGGTTTCAGGATTTCATCATGAGCTGACATTAGTTAGAGAACCATTGGAAAACCTGGGAGTACTGGACAGCCGTTTCGTCCTAGTTCGGGACTCTTCAGCAGTACGCACCCATCGGGATTCGAACCCAGGACCTTCCGGTTACAAGGTGAGCTCGTATACCATTAAGCCACTGGGACCCGATCCAATGGCCAGTCCATGAATTCTAACTTCTGCCAATTCACGACATAGCGCGACCGCTAGCCAATGTCTTCGGCGAGTATTTGTCCTCACACCCGACCAGCTGCACCCTACTGGTCACGACTAACGACAAACTAACCCTTACAAACCAAATTATAGAAAATTAATTTGATCCTCGCTAGTAATGACCTGTTACAGGATGGAGTTTCCTGAAGTCACTTCTAGTGAGAAGTCATGACCAGTGAGGTTCATCCAGATATCACGTGTGAGGATGGATGTCCCACCTACGACAATGGCTGGGATCGCGCTAAAATCACAAATTGGTAGAAGTTAGAATTCATGCACTGGCTGGCCATTGAATCGGGTCAGTCCCAGTGACTGAATGGTATACGAGCTTGTCTTGTAACTGGAAGCTCCTGGATTCGAACCCCAGTGTTGGGTGCGTATTGCCTATGGTTCCCAAACTAGGCTGATGAAACAGCAGTTGTTCAGTACTCCCTGGCTTTTAATTGTCCTCTAATTGATATCAATCTGTGATCAACTCGTGAAAATAGACTATCATATACCCAATGTCGAAATTTTTCACGCTGTTAAAAGTGAACTTGGTTTGGACATATATATATATATATATCTTTATTTGTAGATCGAGCAATACCGCAGCTGCTCAAGCCTTTGCTGTCGCCACTGCAGGCAGTGCAAATCCATTGGCTGCTGTCGGTATCATGGGTTTAGGTCCAAATCTATTTCGTCCAGGTGGATATCGTTTCTCTGCGGGTACAGCAACCGCTGCAGCTACACAAGTTGGTCTCCGATCAGGATCAAGTTCTCTTTCAGGCAGTAATACAAGTATTGCTGTCTCAGGGGCGGTAACAAATCGTACCTCTGTTCAAAGTACTTCTTCAACTATTACTAGTGGTATGTATCCTATCTCAACTGGTGCCAATAATCCAGTGTCACAATCGGGAATGGGAACGATGACGCCGCCGCCGCCACCGGAGGAACATCACTAACCAGTACAGTGGGTTCATCACTGGTACAACCAACATCGACAGTAAATACAGGCTTGCGTTATAATCTTGCTCGAAATGGTTTGACTTCAACAACAACAACAACGAATAATCCATCAGTATCAGCAAGTAATACATTCAACTTTCATTCATACAATTTGACAAGTCCAACATTAATCCAGCATTCATCTGGTAGTGGTGTTGGTGTTGCCCCCGGGGCAACATCTCATCATTGTACAAATCAAGCTAAACGGAATACAATGTTGGCGACAGCATCATGTTTACGTGTGTTAAATGTTGTAAGACATTGGATAACTAAATTTCCTGATGTAAGTTTACAAAATTGTTTAAAAAGTAATTTATTTTCATACATATATATATTGTCAAATTAAGGTATACCAATGACGCAGAGCTTTCTGACTCCACTTTGAACAAAATAATCATGAGATGTTTAGCATGCATTTTGTCTCCTGTCGATTTTACGATTGGTCTGCCTCGACACCTAATTTAAAAGTATAGATTGAAGTGTAAGTGAAGAACTTGGGAACTGCGGTAGAGTATAATTCCGTATTATTAGTATTCCCTTGGGGGGGGGAGTCCGAGTAGAACATAGGGCTTCAACAACACACCTCCACTTACTTCTGCTTTATGATTTCCTCTTCAACTGCCCAACTCCATGATTGACCATGATCTCTCATCTCTACCTTCCCATGTGAACGCTCTCCATGTCACACTAGATCATACATCCAACTGGTTGTTTCGCATTCGGATTCCAATCTAGCGATGACCTGTATAGTGCGGGATGTTATTCGACCAACGGCTTCCTCAACGTATACCCGATCCATCTACACTTTCTCCTACATATTTGAAGAAAACAAGAACTACACTTTTAGCAGAATAAAGTAGTACCATCATTGTTTATTTCGTTGCCTTCTCGTCAGCTGCTTGAGTGGCAAAGACATTATTAAATATATCAACAGAAACAATTTTATCAGACTTACACAGAGAGTTCATTTTAGACAAAAATCAATCGATCAGTATACGCATACACTAATAATATATATATATATATATATATATATATATATATATATATATATATATATATATATATATATATATATATATGTAATATTAAACACTATCCCGAACAACAGTGGTCATACACAATGAAGACTATTCAGCATTTCGGATTCAGATGAAAGAGAGATGAAAATATCCAGTTACCAGGAAGCGCAAAGAAAGACTCATAACCGCTTCTTTCTTTCAGGACGCATAAATCAGGTTTCAGGCGCTTCATCAAACCTGAGGAGAATTGAGTTCTTTTACCTATTGATAATTTTGAACGACTTTTCGACGTCCACCTCATGACCCATGTCAAGGAGATGCTTGGTGATGGATGGCACTGTTTAAAGCATTTGTTCCCTTTAGACAAGCTTTTCGATGCATGTTCAGATAATCGTAGTTATACCCTTCTTTCTGTCCTTCTAATGTAACTGCTGCCACATATACAGTTCGAGTTGTTAACAGGAGAAGGATGTCTATCTATTTATGATTGTACCAAAGAGGAAGTTGTTCGAAAGATGGGGACGAACTTATCTGGAGTATAGGCTATGGCTAGTGATGTACTCAGCCTTCTGTTGATTATCGCTGCAATGTTTTCACCTTTAAAATCAACCTGGATGTAGATTGGCGTTTTCCCCTGTGTGATTTGTTTTACATTTGTGCCTTCAGATCTCCCATACTTGTTGATGAACCTTTAAGGGTACCAATTACTTTTCAATATCTTTTCAAGAAACTAAAATTCTTCCTCTAATTTCTCTATAGAGCATATTCTCCTTGCGCTATAGTACAGAGTTTTGACTAGTCCGCGTTTAAAGCCATTTGGACAAAAGCTATTAAAATGCAAGTATTGTCCTTTCGATTAAGCTTATTCTTTCTTTCTGCACCCCCCTTGCCAGCCGGCCATTTGATCTTCAGTATGGAGCCAGCCAGCCAACCAGCCAGCTAAGTGCGCAGCTGTTGATAACAGTCTGTAACCGGCTGTTGGATATCCTTGTCGTGATAAATGCGCAGTGCAATTTTCTGACCCTTATGAATGAACTGATCGACTGACTTCACATTTGTGTTGAAACGAATCCAAATCGTGTTGTTTATACTGGCTGAGTGATTGAGTGAAGCAGAAGATTTCCAAACTGGTTTCAGGTTGATGAAGGCATATCTCGCCTTTCCAATCCTCTCTCTAGGTGGCTGGCTTTGACGTCTTTATGCTTTCTTTCTGCCTGTGATTCAAGCCGTGATTCTTAGTTGGATAAGTTAAGAAAGTCACCTCTTTGAAATCTCTCCTGTTGATAGTGGCAGATGTTGGTTGTTGTTGTTGTTGTTAGTGCGTGAGAATCTTCATTACCTCCGTCCTCTCAACTTTCTCCTGCAAGTCTGTCTGCTTCACCGGCTGTTTCTTCTGCTAGTTTATTTTTTAAATTTTAGCCTGCCTGCAAGTCTTCAAGTTTGTGTGTAACACACATGAAACAGAAATCATCCAGGCGCGAAATCCAGATAATATAGAATTTTATTATCGGTAGTGCAGCCTATTCCTGTCTTCACATTCTCCACCCACAGTCTAACGCATAATCCAGTCCATCACAATTAAGGGTATCATCGGTGATAATACACCGCCAGCATGTCTTACTCCTGCTTTCACTTCGAACGCGTCGCTGAGTTGTCCGGTGTAGATCATCTGACATGTGGCAGGCATTTTCATATAGTCAGCTGTTGAATAAGTTTAATAAAGACTTAGGCACTGCACGCCATGCTATCGAAACAGTTTCCAAATCATTACTCTGTCAACGCTGTCAAAGATTTTTTCGAAGTTGACGAAGTTAGGGAACGGGTTGGACTGACACTCTGCGTTTTGTTCTATGGCGATGAGTAGAGTCACAATTTGATCAGCAAATGGCATACCTTTCCTGACACCAGCTTGTTTTGGCGGGCGGAGTTCTGTATCGAGTGTAATTCCATGTTAGATGAGTTAATTTCATATAACACACAATAATGCACTATTGATTAATGGATGACGTTTCAAGTACACTTTATTTTTCCTCTTAATCACATCACTATTTAGTCACACGGCTTACCAATTCTCTCTTTCTCACCCTCTCTTCGTCTCTCTCTCTTTCCTTTGTCGTTTGTTACCACTGTCCATATCTCCGCAGTATAGGCATTGCGTCATTTCGATTGCATGTGTGCGGTGTTCAACCGATGAACAAAAAAAATTCAGTGAATAACCTCTCTCACTGTCTCCACCTAACTATATTACTCTTCAATATTTTCACCCTGTCCCCATTCACCTTATTGTTTGTGTGATGATTATACGCAAGTGAATGCAATTCAGTGAGGTGGCTGAGCTTTTTTCCAGGTTATTTAACTTAGTGGGGTCAGTCATTCTAGATCAAACTACACTTTTTTGTACTGATAATCTAATTGATCTCGATCTACTACTAGTATGACCTATGTGTAATTGAGCTCACAGTCATTACATGGTATGTGGTGATCTGTCACGTCTTTGGATCAATAAGTTTTACCTCTGAGTGAGTCGGTTGGTTGGTTGGTTTAAATGCCAACTTAATTACTTTGGGGCTCCTCAGCACTACGCATCCACCACATGGGTTTGAACCCAGGACTTCCGGGTTGCGAGGTGAGTTCCCAGACCATTCAGCCACTGGGACCCGATCTAATCGTCTATGAATTCCAACTTCTGTCACTTCTTGATATATACATATATATATGTACAGCGCAACCGCTGGCCAGCTTTGCAGGCGATTAATTGCCCTCTTAGCGGACTTTGTAGACCCTTTTAGTTACCACTTCTCACTAGAATTCCACGCAGTCAGACATGAGGCCTAATACTTGCTTTAGATGATATTAGATGGTGACAGTCCTACTAAAACCATGAACTGGTGCAAGTTAGAATTCATCGGCTGGGTACCAGTGGATGAATGGTCTACGAGCTAGCTTGACTTCTAACCAGAAAGTCCCCTGGGTTTGAACCCCAGTGGTGGGTGCGCGCCGATGATGAGTCTCAAACGTGGACGAAATTACTGATATTTCATATTTCCTCATCTCTTCGAGAAATGCACGACACTCAATCCAAAGCCAGTGAAAAAGGTGCAAGAATACATTTTAAAACCCAAGGAAATATGTTGGAGACGGTTATCTCACTCATGTATTGAGATCCGCGTTGCCACACACACACACACAAAGTTTCTTTCTCCTATGTTTAGTAGATAGAAACTTGCGAATCAACAGGCTGTAGACATTTTAAATACTCACTAGAGTAAGCAGAAACGCCATTAGAGGTCATATTATGATAAATTAAAACAAACCAAACTAAGAAAATTATACGGAATATAATGATGGAGAGTTTTTGGTAGCCCACGTTTTAAAAAGACCAACGAATAACACCACACTAATACTACTATTATTATTAGCATTACTAAAGGTGAATTGGACAGGTAATCAGAGTTTAAATAAATATCATAAAAGTACGAAGGAGTTGGAAAATAAGAAAGGGTGGGAGGGTTTTGAATAGAATTCGCCTACGCCAAGCAAGGGAGAGACAAACTTGGTAGAACAAACTTCTTTTGTTGTACGCAAAGACTAGGATTCTTCTCTCGAATTAATTCCTATAGCTTCTTCGGCTATGTGTAAAAGACGGGTTCTGATCCCGTTCGAAAGCCTCGATGGAATGTATGATAGATAGCTTTGAAGGCACTATTTTTGTCCACTTGGTGACCACTATCAATCAAATGAGCCAAAATAGAACTTCGTATGAATTTTATTTGACGTTTTTCGAACCATGGAGGAAGATGTTCATTAATGCGTTTGTTAAGTTGTCTAGTTGTTCGGCCTGTATAGCTCTCTCCACAGGAGCAACTAAATTTATAGATACACATGGAAGTGGCACAACTAGGTAAGTTATCTTTCACTTGAGCAATCAAAATTGGTCGGCTGAAAAATGACAAACAGAAAGGGTGGCGGCAGTATAATTCCGTTTTATCGCTCTCGATAATCTCATATGTAAGACTTGACTAGCCACGTCCCCCTTAAATTGCAATTTCATGAACCGTTGTTTCTTTTTAACTGTTGTCAGTCTCCCTTTGTTGTACTTGGTGTTTATATGTCTCCTTACTAATCTACTAGGATAACCCAGCTGGACCAGCGTATTTTGAATGTATCCTGCCTAATTCATTTTCACTGGAGTCATCTGTACATATCCTTCTTGCTCTATTTGTGAGGCATCTGACCAATTTGATTTTGTATCGGATTGGTACAAAACTGAGGAAATGTGTATTATTGTCCTACAGATGTAGGTTTTCTATAGACATCTCTCTTGAGTGAACCATCCTCTCTTCTGCTCATTTGAACGTCAAGGAATTGTAGTCCACCATCATGTTCTTCTTCACTGGTGAATGTGAGCGATGGATGTGCATCATTAAATTATATTAACATTTCATTCTTGTCGACTTTCTCATCAAGAATAATAAACGTATCATCAACATAACGAAAATATGAATCAGTTTTCTCTATCACGTGTCTCAATCGACCATTTTCAAGCTTAGCAAGAAAGAAATCTGCCGAAATTGGCCCCAGTGGAGAACCACCCATGACAATACCGTCGATTTGTTTGTAATAAAGGTTGTTGAATGTGAAGCGTGCATGCATTCATAGTATATCTTAAAAACAACTCTTTCATACTAATAAATGGAACGTCGATGTCGAACTGTTTCTTCTAGTATCTGTTGGCATATGAATCTCACAGTCTCCATAAGTGGTACATTGGTTAATAGTGATGCGACATCTAAGGATAACATTTGCTTCCCATCTACATCAATATACTAGTATAAATTGACTTTCATGGAGGATTCAATCATGAGCTGATATCATTTAGAGAACCACTGGAAAACCTAGGAGTACTGGACAGCTGTTTCGTCCTAGTTTTGGACTCTTCATCAGTACGCACCCACCACAACGTTTCGAACCCAGGACCTTCTGGTTACAAGGCGAGCTCGTAGACCATTGAGCCACTGGGACCCGATCCAATGGTCCTTGAATTCTAACTTCTGCCAATTCACAACATAGCGCGATCACTACGCAATGTCTTCTTCGATGAGTTACTGCCTCATCTTCAACCTGCTGTAAATTGACTTTCTCTCTCTCTTTTATTTTCTTTAAAAAAAACCAGGATTTTCAAAGTGACTCAGTTTTAAAACGTGAAATGCAAACGCTGCTGGATGCTCTTGTCACCTGTCCACATTTAATGCCCAATGATCAAAAAGTGGCTGGTCAGTTGTTACTTCAAATGATCTCTGATCAATTGGTACATGATAGAATTGATCTTGATAGTATATTAACTCCAACACAGGTAAGTTAGTTAGTTAGTTAGTCAACTTGTTTTTATTTTTGTAATTTTGAGTGACCTCTAGCCACTAAATCTAAGATACATGGCATTTTCTGTCTAGAACGTATCCACTGAATATATACCTCCATCTGCAACGATTGCTGGTATCCAAATCTACAGTTTCCAGAGACATAGGGTTGGTTATCTCCTGGACTACTGGATCATGAAAGCCACTTCTTGTACAATGCGTATTAGATGGTTTTTGAATTTTCCTCTAAATAATTTTCTTTATTATAGAGAACATGTCGACCCCTAATACTCATTTTTTATTTCATACATTTATTCCCCTTAATGAATTTGAATAAATCGAGAAAAACAACGTTGGTTTTTGCAGAATAAAGTGGTACCATCATTGTTTATTTCGTTGCCTTTTCGTAAAGCAATATTAAACACTATCCCGAACAACAGTGGTCATACACAATGAAGACTATTCAGCATTTCGGATTCAGATGAAAGAGAGATGAAAATATCCAGTTACCAGGAAGAGCAAAGAAAGACTGATAACCGCTTCTTTCTTTCAGGACGCATAAATCAGGTTTCAGGCGCTTCATCAAACCTGAGGAGAATTGAGTTCTTTTACCTGTTGATAATTTTGAACGACTTTTCGACGTCCACCTCATGACCCATGTCAAGGAGATGCTTGGTGATGGATGGCACTGTTTAAAGCATTTGTTCCCTTTAGACAAGCTTTTCGATGCATGTTCAGATAATCGTAGTTATACCCTTCTTTCTGTCCTTCTAATGTAACTGCTGCCACAGATACAGTTGGAGTTGTTAACAGGAGAAGGATGTCTATCTATTTATGATTGTACCAAAGAGGAAGTTGTTCGAAAGATGGGGACGAGCTTATCTGGAGTATAGGCTATGGTTAGTGATGTACTCAGCCTTCTGTTGATCATTGCCTCAATGTTTTTCATAACCATTTTGTTGGGTTCCCAGTGGGGCGTAGGACTTCAGAAGCACCCCTCCATTTTAACCTGTTATCTGTAGGTCCTCTTCTTCTGAGGCTACTATCATCTATAAGCTTTCATCTCCTCAATATCAATCACCCTTGAACTTCCGAATTTCACTCTAACAATGACCTGGAGTGCGACGTCATCATACGACGGTCTGCTCAGCGTGTGTCAGATACATCTTAAATCTCTTCAGAATATTTGTCGAACAAGAGGAGGTTCTTGATTGGTATGTACCCAGAGATTCTTGTAGCTTATCCTCTCTGACCGAACATTTGATCATCAGTGAGGCAGACACTTTTCGACAGACGTCTGCAGTATCCTGCTGGGAATGTTTTTCATGAAGCCAGCTATGAGTTCCTGACGCATATGAAAGAAATGACTGACTAACTGACTTAACATTGGTGCTGGAAGCCGTAGTATTGTTTTTCACGCCGAATTCATCAGTGAATTCCACTCTGACTTCAAAGTGGTGAGGATCTTTCTTTACTTCTTAATCCTAGTATACATATCCTCATATCTGCCGTACCTAGATATATGAAGAAATTTATTCCATTGATAGTAATTCGAGAGCATTTTGACGTTGTCGGTTGGATAGTTGGTTAACTTTGTCACATCCTTCTCCTCTCTGTTCACTTGAAATCCTGTTCTTCTGACAGCATCTTCTGCCGAATTGTTAATTTTCCCCTGTAAGACATATGAAGTCCAGATCTTCTAGAGTCTTGTGATCGATTAAACGTATTTCAGTCGGCTCCTAATTCTAGAGAGACAGATATTGAAGAGATGATTTCAAGTACCCACGCACAGACTACATCCAACAACATGGATGAGCAGTAGTCTGGTTAGCCAGTATCGTTTCAAATGCAGACACTCCAGCACGGATGACAACATCAAAACTAACCAGGATTGGAAAGGCAAGCTAGACCTTCATGACTCTGAAATCTGTCTCAAAAGTTGCTGAACTCATTACAAGCAAAATCCTACACCACTGTTAAGTCTTTCAGTGTCCCCACATAGGCCAGAAACTCAGAGAAAGCTTCATGAAAAGAATTTAATCATCAACTACCCAATTCTCTGGCTTCATACTGAAGATTAGAGGGATGGCAAGGCAGGAAGAATCAGAAACCAGAAACTCTAGGAACATATTAATATATGTGCAAAACATGGGCACTGTGGTAGTAAGTGATTCCATATTAGTTTGTTTATTAGATGTATCACACACACACACACGGTGAAACAGTATTATTTACTGGATAACAACTCCTTTCGAACACAATTTATTATTGCTGTTCATAATCATATCGCCAATTATAATCACACGACTTCAAAACTTGAGTTTTATAGTTTTCTTTATTCTCTCCTATTTCTCGTCTTTGGGGTAGGCGAACTTTCCAGATATCTGTGGGGACAGGCGTTGAATCATTCCTATTACACGTGTTGGTTTGTAGTTGATTCGATAAGCAAAGCTTCTGTTATCAATCTCTCTCTCTCTCTGTACCTTGTGACATTAGATTTTAAAACTGTCATCCTATCCCATCCCGTCCTATTGTGTGGTTGTGTGTAATTGCATATAGTGGGTGCTATAGCTGAACTATTCTCTGGACTTCTTATCTTATTCGGGTCAACTAATCTAGATTTTGCGGTTAGGTTTTTTATGTACGGCTGGAGCATTTGCCAAAATGGTTGAAAACAGCTGAGTTCAAAGTCCCAAAATCGTCGATAACAAAACATCTTTTAGTTTACGGACATGATATCGACACAGTCAAGTCATTTACCATTGTCAGCAAACAAAGAAACAAGAAGATGCTTGCAATTGCAGAGGCTTGTGCAATTCGAATTTATAAACCAGCTCTCTGTATACAAAAGGAGATGGTCGTCACTCTGAATCTACCATGATAATACGCTTTACTTATTATTCTCTACTTGTTATTACTATTATTCTACCTCTTCTTCCTACTATTATTTTTATTATTATTATTATCATTATTATTATTATTCTTGATTCATCTAAAACTATGCTTTATCGGTAAGATTATCTTAACTCACTTCAACACTATTAAAACTATTACTATTGATATTAGTCTGTTTGCAATTCTCGTTATATTCCCTAATGACTAATTGTTTATCTAAGTGATGTAATTGAAGCGTAATGCAATTTATCTTAATTTTGATCTCTCATTCTCTCTCTCCCCCCTTATCTATTTGAACATGACCTGGAAAACATTCGCACCTGTCGTCTTTCTGCATGACTAATTCAATGTAGTTTATTTGCTTATCAGTCTTATATATCTCCCAATGTAATTTCCAAAGTATATATATCCGTGTATGTCGAGTATTCAGTGGCTGACGAGTTCTACCGAAATTTGATGAATTCATTAAATCCTGCTTATTAACCTTTATTGCTTGTTTTAAATTCATATCGATAAATAAATGTTTTCAATGTTCGGCTAGTTTGACTGCCTAGCGGACCTACCTACCTGGCAAAATCCACATTGGTTGACCCGAATAAGATAAGAAGTCCAGAGAATAGTTCAGCTATAGCACCCACTATATGCAATTACACACAACCACACAATAGGACGGGATGGGATAGGATGACAGTTTTAAAATCTAATGTCACAAGGTACAGAGAGAGAGAGAGATTGATAACAGAAGCTTTGCTTATCGAATCAACTACAAACCAACACGTGTAATAGGAATGATTCAACGCCTGTCCCCACAGATATCTGGAAAGTTCGCCTACCCCAAAGACGAGAAATAGGAGAGAATAAAGAAAACTATAAAACTCAAGTTTTGAAGTCGTGTGATTATAATTGGCGATATGATTATGAACAGCAATAATAAATTGTGTTCGAAAGGAGTTGTTATCCAGTAAATAATACTGTTTCACCGTGTGTGTGTGTGTGATACATCTAATAAACAAACTAATATGGAATCACTTACTACCACAGTGCCCATGTTTTGCACATATATTAATATGTTCCTAGAGTTTCTGGTTTCTGATTCTTCCTGCCTTGCCATCCCTCTAATCTTCAGTATGAAGCCAGAGAATTGGGTAGTTGATGATTAAATTCTTTTCATGAAGCTTTCTCTGAGTTTCTGGCCTATGTGGGGACACTGAAAGACTTAACAGTGGTGTAGGATTTTGCTTGTAATGAGTTCAGCAACTTTTGAGACAGATTTCAGAGTCATGAAGGTCTAGCTTGCCTTTCCAATCCTGGTTAGTTTTGATGTTGTCATCCGTGCTGGAGTGTCTGCATTTGAAACGATACTGGCTAACCAGACTACTGCTCATCCATGTTGTTGGATGTAGTCTGTGCGTGGGCACTTGAAATCATCTCTTCAATGTCTGTCTCTCTAGCCAGTCTGTTGGTTTTTACCTGTAAGTCATTGGACTTACAGCCATATTAGACATAAATCCTGTATGAAGTTCAGTTCTTCTGAAGCCTTCATATAGTTCCGACGTACTTCTGTTGGCTCCTTGTTCTTCTTATTTTCATTCTTCCTCTGGAACATAAGAATTCAACAGCACATTCACACTTCACTCTACTCTCTGTAGTCGTTTTGTAGCTGTCTCCGTGATCGTTTATGAGCTGTCATCTCCTCCTCGCGTGATCTTCTACATGTCACCCCTGTATCGACGCCTAGCCTATCAATTTCCATTTCTGCTCCATTGAAGGTTCCACCTAGCTTGTAATATCCCGCGACCTTCTTCTTATACAAACACATAATTCACAATATTTGTAGAGTCCTAACATCACAGAAGTCGAAAACCTCTGACTTAGAAAAAATTGTCGTAAACACTTCATCATATAATCAATAAAGCCTACGCCATTAAATGAATCCCACGGTGTAACTTTCGTTTTTCTTTTAATTTTGGTGTTTTGCAAATAAATATTAGATCCCATCAGAGAAGAATTTTGATCAGTTGTCTGCGCTGGATATCTCTGAACAGTTGACATTTTTGGATTTTCAAATATTTCGATCGATAAGAAGCGAGTAAGTTATGCTTCTCATTTTTTCTAAAAATTGTATTCATAGTACATTCCTTTCTGATTTATATAATTAGTTGAGAAATTATTCCTTTTTATAACGAAGTCTGGAACTAAACTGTCCATTCGTGCATTTATTTATTTATAGCAAAGTAGGTGGGAATGTTCGAGATCTATTTCTGGTTAAAGATCAAATCATTAGGACTACAAATAGGAATTAAAAAAACGTAAAATTAACAGAAGTAAACAGGAATTTTAGATATGAAAGGTAACAGGACAATCATTATTGTGAGAATTGGCTTTTTATAATAACCATGGTAAAGAGAAAGCCAGTTGGATGTGCTTCTTTCAAAATGAATAGCGTTGACTTGAATTTCTGGGTCTCTAGGACCTTAGACATACCCAGATGCCTTGATCCCACTCTCTTTGAGAGACGTTTATTATTATTATTTTATTATTATTTCCTTTAATTCCTAGAGGAATATAGGGCTTCAGCTGCACCTCTCATTGCGTTCGGTTCTCCGCTAAAGTTTTCACCTGGCTCCAAGTTTGCCCAAATGCTTTCATCTCCTATTCACATGACCTCCTTCAACTCACCCTTGGACAACCAACTCGCCTTTCCCGTTCATGTCCCACTCGACGGCTTGTCTAATGATTTCACTTGATGGTTTCCTCATAGTATGACAAATCCGCCTCCATTTCTTCCTGCTTATCTGTCGTACACTCGGCTCCTGATTGGTTCGCTCATTGCCAGAGACCCCTGTTGCCGGTCTTTTCTGGCCATCTGATCTTGAGTATTGAGCGAAGACAGCTGTTAATGAAGGTCTGTAGTTTGTTTGAGGTGCTCTTCATGAAGCGTCAAGTCTCTGATCCGTATAGTAGCACTGACTTCACATTGGTATTGAAAATCCGGATCTTGTTTTTGATGCTTCCATAAGTTTCCCGTTGTGGATTACTTAGCATGCAGCATTGTCGTATAACTGTTAAACGAGATGTATAATTGTCGATGGCACCCCTTGGTAGTAGCGAACTAGTTTCCAAGCCTCCTCTCGATCGACACTACGCTGTCGAATGCCTTTTCAAAATCGATGAAGTTGAGATAGAGAGGTGACTGCCATTCCAAGGTTTGTTCAATGATCATCCGTAAAGTGGCGATTTGATTAATACATGACTTGTTCCTCCTGAATCCAGCTTGTTCCGGTCGAAGTTTTTCATCCAGGGTGGCTTGTTTGATTCTCTCCAGGATGATGCGGCTTAGTATTTTGCTTTGGATGGACAGGAGCATAATTCCACACCAGTTCTTGCATTGACTTAAGTCTCCTTTCTTTGGGCCTTATATATGACTTCGTAGGCATTTTCATCCTTCATAGCTGAATGTCCTGAATTCATCAGATGTTCTGATACTGAACTATATGCATACATATATTCTTTCTTTGCTAGCCAGGCTAGATAGTGTTCACGAGCGCGCTTTGCAAGCGCACGCATAGTGCGGCCATTGTATACTCAGTTCCACAGGAATGGAGCAAGTGATGCTGTACATTCATGTTGAAATCGCCCAATGTGATAGTTCGTCTCTCACATGTGTGTTGAATAGCTTCTTGGGGGAAAATGCTAATTGTAGGCTGACGGAGAAGTATGTTTTGCTGAGAGATTTCGAAAGTTGATTTATGAAGAATTTCTGCTTTTACTTCACTTTTAAATTCGGGATTAAGCAGAACCAGAATCATTTTGTGGGCGAATTGGACCTGTTCTGAAGTTTTCTAGGGTTTTTGTCTACAAGTCTGGGTGGGAAACCATTTTCTACCAAGATTCTGCTGAGATATTTTAGTTCTAAGTCAACAGATTCTTCTTTAAGAAATTATATCCCTTGAGGGAATTGAATCATAGGTGTGAAGTCGGTGCTACTAAACGTGTCAGAGACCTGGCGCGCGTTACGGAGGGCTCCTCGAACAAACTAAAAACCTTCATCGATCAACAGCTGTCTTCGCTCAATACTTCACTCAAGATCAGATGGCCGGCCAGAAAAGATCAGCACCAGGGATCTCTGGCAATCAACCAACCAACCCAGTAGGAACCAATAGTGCAACAAATGTGCAGGAAGAAATGGAGGTGGATTGGTCATACTCCGAGAAAGCAAACCATCAAGTGAGTGACATCACGCACCAGCCTTATTGCTTGAGTGGAGCCCGAAAGAGAAGCCGGGAGTTTGTCGTCAGTGAGAGGGTGACATGGAGGAGGTTATGTGTAGACGAGGTGAAAGCATGTGGGCAGACGTGGAACTAGGTGAAAACTTTGGCAGAGAACCGAACGCAATAGAGACGTGCGCCTGAATCTCTATGTTGTTCTAGAGATAAGTGGAAACAATAATAATCATAGTTAAATGTCAAGTGGCAAAACATTTAATGTTATATACAGAATAACTCATAGGATGTGTAGAACTTGGAAGAGGTGTATGGATTGGTATGATGACACTGATCCTATTGGACTGAATTAGGTCACAAATATTTAGTTCCCGTCAGTGGAACATCGATAAAGAGAGAGAAAGACCACATCTAGGGAGACAATCTTTTTTCATTTATTTGCTGATGGATTAGTTGCCTGTCAATGAATAAGCCTCAAGTTTGAACTGTGTTTCACACAATTTAAGCCAGGACAACTAGCTTATAACATACGCTCACATACACACAAGTTGACCGTCTCCAGCCCCCTTTTACATTACTCAAAACTTGTACCAACTAACTGAGATGTTCTCCACTCTAATGGTTTTTTTTTACTATCCGACTAATATCGATCAAATTACATAAGTGAACTTAAGATAATACCAGTTATATGATCCTCATTACTTATATTTGATAATAAAATTGACTAACTCACTGAGACGAACTGTGTCAATCCATAAATCAAATTCACAGTTTGCAGATTCGTTTGCAATTTGCAATTTACACGGTTTGAGTGGTGAGATTTCCTTTACCTTAAATGCTAATCAAGGAATCAGGGATAACTGCACGAACTGACTGGGATGAGTAGTAGATATAATACCAATCCTATCAACTAGTAGAACTTGTCAACTAGCCCAATGAAGTTGTTATAAACACCACTCGTTTGCAGCCGAGCTTCTCACCAACGGTGTACTAAGTTTGACAAATCAACTCAGACAGCTGAATCCTTTCATACCACTCAGTTTCTGGGGTGTCTGTAATTCCTTCCCCCTCCAGCCTCCCCACCCCCCGCCGAAGTCCAAATCGCCTTCGTGATTTCACTATGAGATGCTTTCCTATCGTTTTCTTTTCTTTGTCTTAACTATTTTGAAGAGAATTACTCAATCAGTCTTGGATGAAACTGGACAAAGAGGAAAAGGCCAAACATGTCCTGCTGGTTTGTAAACGTTTCAATGAGGTAAGCAGACCTATACGAATAAAGCTATATCCTCTTTTATTATTATTATTTTTTTATTTCAATTTATTATTTCAATTTATTAATTCAATTTATTTTTCCATTCTCATTTTTACACACTTGTTATCCGTTAAAATCCTGTGTAATTTTGTTTCTTAAGCCTCTCCTTGTAAAAACCATCTATCTAGTATACAATTGGTAGATGGTGGCTAGCAGTGGAATCCAGGATGCGCATTTCGTCCTATTTGGGACTCTTTAGCAGGGTGCACCTGCATTTCTCAGTGAGTGATGATGTTCCCCGCACTGAGGCTCGAACCCAGTGCCCATAGTTTCAAACGCCAAAGCGTTATCCACTAGACCCCTTGGGCCACGAGAGCCACCTCTTGTGCAATGGATCATATTAATTATTGAATTGAATTTTTGATTTTCCCTTCGATTGATTGGCCCAAGTGGTCTAGTGGATAACGCTTTGGCGTTTGAAACTATGGGTACTGGGTTCGAGCCTCAGTGCGGGGAACATCATCACTCACTGAGAAATGCAGGTACATCCAGTTGGCTGACGAGTCCCAAATAGGACGAAATGCGCTTTATCCTGGATTCCACTGCTAGCCACCATCTACCAATTGTGTACTAATTAAATGCCCAGACATCGTCGAGGTATCTGCACAAGAAGCTGACATGTCAACCTGAGACCGAGCACTTCGGTCCAATCAATCGACGGGAAAATCAAAAATTCAATTCAACCATCTATCTAGTTGAAAATAATTGTCACCTTTTATTCACCGTCATAATTATGTGGAATCAAACAAGAATTGTATCCGCATAAAACGATGTATTTAAATGCGATTGTACAGCTACTTTTGAAAATGAAATCGCTCAAAAGATCGCCATCTTTGCTGAACTTCGTGTTCCCTTCTTTCTTCTTTTATTATCATTGTATTTTTGTCTACTTTACTATTCTGGTTGAGGCATGTATTTGTACAGTGTTGCATATCAGAATTCGTCTGATTCTGTAAATGTGCGTGTGTGTACGTCATCATAGATATACTAATGGATTTAACCTTAACTGATTTCAACGACTCAGGGATTGATTTGTTGCCAGGGAGGGGAATACTCTCGTTGACTTAGAGTTAGCAGATAATAGAGTCCTACTTCGTGAAGATGCTGACAAAATGCAGAGTTTTTTCAACACCTTGAGCTGATATCTGAGAATGTTTGGCATACAATTCGCTCTTCCTTATAAATGTAAGATGATACTAAAGGATTGAACTACATTGACTCCTAGCTTAGAAATAGGGAGTAAAGTGGCTGATGGAGGGTGTTGGTTACTTCGCTTACTTGGGAAGTTGTATCAGCCTCAACGGGTTGATCGCTGACGAAATCTTAGAAAGGATACGGAAGATCCGCTTTGCATACGCCAGTTTACGCTGTGTCTGGCGTAGACGTGATATCTGACTGTTGACCAAAGGATGTATGTACCACTCAGCAGTTCATTTTGTCCTTCTTTATGGCTATGAGACATGGTCATTGAGAGTGGAAGACATAAGAAGTCTAGCTGTCTTTGATCATAGGTGCCTGAGTTAAATCTGTCGTGTGAAGTGGTATAATAAGGTGAGTAATATTGACGTTAGGCGTCGATCGAGTGTTAGGTAAGGAGGGGAAATCAATAGATGAGAATGTGAAGTTACATCGGCTGAGATGGTTAGGACATTTGCTACATATGCCTAGGCATGGCCTTCGTCGACGGGCGATGTTAGCTGAAATAGGATGGATCAGGTTGGAAAAGAGCTAGTGGTTGTCAAACCAAAGTATGGCTTCATCAGTCAATGAAATCCACATAAGTTAGTTTAAGCCAGACACTTCAGGAGGTGAAGACTTCCTATCAGGGGTCTTCGGGATGGTAAAAACCAATGGCTGGAGACAATCGGTGATATGGCTCAAAATCGTTCTCAATGGTTGGCGCAGATGCATCTACTCCTTGTGACTTATAAAATCCAATACAACTTAATGGTTCTTCAATATTACTATTCTTTTTTCCTCATATCTCTGTTTACAGTCTCTGTTTTGCATTTCTTTTTACTTTCTTCTCTTGCTTTGTGTATTACATGTTGTGTGGCAACTGGAATTGCTGCACATTTGTGCAAAGTTGTTCGTTGAAACCAGTCAGTCAGTCGCCCACATCGGGGATCAAACCAAGGACCTTAAGGTTACAATGTGAGCTCACATACCATTTAGACATGAAGAGATGGAATACACCTTCCCATGAATTCTGACTTCTGCCACATGCAGCGCTGAATGATCTACGAGCCTGACTTGTGACCTCTCTGTCTGTCTGTCTGTCTGTCTGGATTCAACATAGAACTTGGCACCGAAGTGCACCAGTTCCAGTTGCCACGTTCCAAATACCACACAAAGGTAGGTAGACAAGAAGATGAGTGAAGAGAATCAATACAGTCTGACAAGTATAAGAGTGAAACAGAATGGGTAATGGTAGAAGGGAATATGAAAGATTACAGAGACTGAATACATCTGAGCTGGCCACTGACAACTATTTTGAGCCATGTCACCTATTGTCTCCAGCCTGAAGGTTCTCGGTGCATGGTACTGAAGAGACTAGACCATGACGAAGACAAATAATAAGGATCAAGTCAATACATGATGAGTAAATATCAGAACAGTCTAGGAGAAAAATGGATAATAACAAGAAGGTTAGTTGAAACCTCCAACGGAAACTTCCAAATCCATCTTCGAACCAACAGTAGACCAACAGTATTTCACTGATAATCAGTATACTACTTAATGGTTTTATCAGTAGTTTTACATCATTGTTGAAATTTTCTACTCCTTATTGTTATTATTGAAATGCCTGTTATGTAATTCTTTTCATCCCCTTCTATATCCTATAGGTCAGTCGTCTAGTTGTCTCCGAAATTATATCTCGAACAGATTTAAACGACAGAGTTATGTGTATTGATAAATGGGTAGCCATAGCTGATATTTGTCGATGTATGCAAAATTACAATGGTGTACTACAAATCTGTGCAGCTCTGGTGAATAGTTCTGTCTACCGGTTGAAAAGAACATGGGAAAGAGTTAGTAAACAGACAAAACAGTCAATTGATCGACTACAAATGCTTGTAGCCTCAGATGGACGATTCAAATCAATGCGTGAAGCACTGCACAGGTATGTTTTGACTAATTTATTCTTGGGCAAGATTGACCACTAGCTGACACCAGTTGGAGAACCACTGGAAAGTCAATAACACGGAGTACTGGACAACTGGCTCTTTCATCCTTGTTTGGGAAAATTCAACAGTGCTCCCCTACCGACTCCTGAGTTCAAACCCTTGTGGTGGGTGTGTATACTACTGAAGAGTCCTAAACTAGGACGAAACAGCTGTATGCCCTGGTGGTTTTCAGTGCTTCTCTAACTGGTCTCAACTCTTAAATAATCCTGTAACCAATCAAACCCCAGGAAACAAACACTACTTCAGGTTTATTTTCTGTCATTCGTGTAGTTGTGTTCTGTGAGCTGGATGGTTGATTTGAGAAACCTTCATTATCTTTGAATAAACCAAGAACTATATTGATTTGTGAAGAATAAGATGGCAGCATCATTGTTTATTTCGTTGGCTTCTCATCATCTACGTGTACAACCTAAAGAAGACATTTTAAAATTTATGCACAGAGCAACTTTGTGTTGATGGCTTAGCAGTAGAACACGCACAAACCAGGGGGGGGACTGATCCTCAGCCGACGCACTTCTTTACCTCAGTGAAGAAGAAAGGTTCGGCGTGAAGCTAGCAACCACATCTCATAAAAATAAACACCTTGTGCTATCGAAACTTCAAGTCTCTAGCTTAAAGCCTTATATTCTCCACCAGGAACGTAAAGCAATAAAATATTTTAAAAAACGGAGAAACTTTTAAACAGACATGCAAATGTTCTGTAATATTAATTAATGACAGAAGATATTTAAGTGTTGGTTTGTAGGGATTTTATTGGTTACAGGATTTCATCATGAGCTGACATCAGTTAGAGAACCATTGGAAAATCTGGGAGTACTGGACAGCCGTTTCGTCCTAGTTTGGAACTCTTCAGCAGTATGCACCCACCACCACCCTTCGAACCCAGGACCTTCTGGTTACAAGGTGAGCTCCTATACCATTGATACACTGGAGCCCGATCCAACTGTCCTTGAATTCTAACTTCTGTCAATTCACAACATAGCGCGACCCCTAGCCAATGTCTTCCGTGGCGAGTGTTTGTCCTCACATCCAACCTGCTGCACCCTACTGGTCACGACTTCTCACCAGAACCCCAGGTAACTACCTACTTGAATAGGGCAAGTCGCTAGTGAGCACCTCATCCATATTTATGTGTTGGCTTGCAGGGATTTGATTGGTTACAGAATTTGATCAAGAGCCGAGCCTTGCAGTCAGAAGATCCTGAGTCTTAGCCTCTGTGGTGGGTGCGTACTGTTGAAGAGTCCCAAACTAGGGCGAAACAGCTGTCCAGTACATCCAGGTTTTCCAGCGGTTCTCATAATGAAATCCAGTGACAGGAGACTTCGAACTTAGTGAACAATGATCAGAAATCACACTTATGTGTTATATACCCACAGAGTTGAAGTTTAAATAGAAATAAATGTCTGCGCACAGTGGTAAAAGAGTTATGTAATAGAGACAAGAGGTGACTAAGATAATGATTAACTAATGAACTGAGTAACAATGTGGTGAGTACAACTCAAATCATAGAAATAAGAGACAACCAAAGTTACGCTATACCAAAGGAGAGGGAGACGTCTAAGCCAAAAATTGTGCAATCAAATGAAAGAGAGAAGGTGAGTTAGGACAACTTGTTACTACGACATGAAAAGATTGATACCGGCTTCTTTCTGAACACGTAAACCAGGTTTCAGGCATCTGATAGAGAATGATTCGTCAAACTTAAGAAGAAATGAACTCCTTTGCCTATTGATAATTTTAAAGGATTTTATGATATCCACCTTATTGATGAGATATCTGCCAATGCCGTTATTGCTGCTTATGATGTAGTCAGCTCCACACAAGCGAGTAAACTAGTGTGGTGAGAGCAGGCTGCTAGCCGATTGGTTGGCACTAATCTACGTTAATGTCTAGGTCACTAATATTGACCGTGAACAAGGCTGTTTCAACAACCAATCACAGCAAACCTAAATGTGGACAAATATGATTCGCAGATAGATGGCTCTACTTTCCGAGAAATATCGAACACAACCAATCATAAGACTGTGTTTGTCTGCTTAACTTCCGAGAAACAACCAATCAGAAGACTGCCTTTTTCTGCTTGCATAAGCCTTATTAATGCATATAAAATATATATAAATACGTGTTGATTTTCGTAATAAAACGATCTGTTGCCAGCCCTTGTCTTCTGTTGTTACATTTGGTGTCGCTGCCTCCAAGAAGATGAAGATCCCGTGGCCAGCTGCGTTTGAAGAAGGTGACATACGGAGCTTCTTACGTGACTTCGAAGCCGTTGCTGAGCTGGTGGGTGTCAAGGAGCAGGCGGCGAAGGCAGTTGTCCTGGGGACGCTGTTAAGAGGCCGAGCGAAGGCTGCATATGACAGCGTAGACAGGTCAAATGGCACAGCGTCTTGGAAGAAATTGGTTGAACGACTAGTGTCCGAGTTTGACAGCGAAACAGACAGACAGCTAGCAATGCAGCAGTTCCGGTCAATGAAGCTTGGACCTGATGGAGACCCGCTAGTGTTGGCGGTGAAACTGACTAATCTACTTCGACGCGCGCTTCCCACTTTAGATGAAGAATCAGAAGCGCAGTTACTGTCTTCCCAATTCATCGAGAGTGTCCCCGACCACATTTCTCAGCGATTAAAACTGGTTAACGCAACGCAGCCGATGGATATTAGTGAGCTGGCGAAGGTGACCAGACAGCTGCTGAGCACAACGGTAGCCGCTATAGACCAACCAAAACCAAACGAATATGAGCAAAAATTGAAGCATTGCAGCGGGAAGTGGCGGCGTTAAAGTTGGCTGATAGAAAAGACCGGTGTTTTGAATGCGGTAAGCCGGGACACTGGAGAAGATACTGCCCAGAAAGGCGAAAAAGAAAAAATTTCAGACGGTATAATGCTTGTTCTTTCTTTCGTATGAACCTAGGTTTAGTGGGGGCTATTGAGAAAGGCGCTCTGTATTCGAAGTTGCGAGTGAATGATCGAGAAGTAGTATGTTTGATAGATACAGGGCGGCCGTGTCGTTAATAGATAAGAATTTATGTAAGAGTGTTAATCCGTGTTCATTGACAGTACAAACAGTAGGCGGGTATGTGTTGCGTATCACGGGTAGATCGAACTGTACGGTCGTTGTTGGTGGCTGCGAGGTGACGTTTCCTTTCATTGTTGTACCCGAACTACAGCGAACGATATTAGGAGCGGATTTTCTGCGTGAGATTGGTGCCATAATCGACACGCAAGCGAACGTGGTGATCACGAAATACGGGCATATCAACATGTATGAGACCAGCGAGATAGCAGCGATTAAGCTGTCGACGGTACACAATGTGACAGAGTTAATTAATAAATACGATCATCTGTTCACTGGAGATGGGACCCATACGGTTATTGCGATAAGGTGAATCATGAAATTCCGTTAAGTGATCCTAAAGTAAGGTCATTTTTAACGCGAAGAGTTCCATGTCATCTGGAAGGCGAAGTGGAGCGACAAGTGCAAGAGATGTTAAAAGATGATATTATTGAGGAAGCTGATAGCCCATACAACTCTCCAGTGCTGTTAGTAAAAAAAGCGAATGGGAAATATAGATTCTGTGTTGATTTCCGACAGTTAAACAGTATGACAGAGTTAAGACCGTGTGCCATGCCAACAGTGATAGAAACCTTAGATCGACTACAAGGTGCGAATGTGTTTTCGGTTCTCGATCTTCGCTCAGGATACTGGCAGATACCGATAAAACAAAGTGACAGAGATAAGACGGCTTTCATCGTGGGTCAGACGCAATATCGATTTAAACGCATGCCGTTTGGACTAGCAGGTGCACCGTTTACGTTCAGGCGACTGATGAAGCTATTACTTAAGAACTTGAAAAACGTGGAGGTTTATGGTGATGATCTCGTCATATACAGTCAAACGAAAACGATCACGTCAACCATGTAGAAGCCGTGCTGCGACGCATCGAAGAGTTTGGACTACGCGTCAACAAAACCAAGTCTCAGATAGCCAAAAAGAATGTTACTCTGTTGGGACATAAAGTGGGAAATGGTGAGATTAAACCACTGCCGGAGAAAATTTTGACGATTAAAACGATTCCAGCCCCGAATTCAAAGAGAAAACTGAGACAATTCTTGGGTAGAGCAGCGTTTTATAGTCGCTTCGTGAAGAACTTCAATGAGATAGCAGCCCCTCTATACAGGCTACTAGGTGAGCCAAAGTTTGTTTGGTCGGAAGAATCGCAGAGGACATTCGACAGAATTAAACAGCTGCTCGACCACCAACAAATGACGCTAAAACTACCTGTGCCAGGAAGACAGTTCACAGTGTGCACAGATGCCAGTGACTACGCTATAGGTGCGGTCCTAAGACAGGACGAGGGAATCGTTGAGTATGCCAGTAGGGTGTTGACCCTCACAGAGAGAAAGTATTCAACGATAGAGAAAGAATGTTTAGCAATGGTATGGGCAGTCGACAAATGGAGACCTTATTTACTCGGCCGGCGGTTCCACATCGAAACCGATCATAAGCCGCTACAATTTTTGAAGACAGCGAGAGACCCACGGGGGAAGTTGTCACGGTGGATGTTGCGTCTTCAGGAATACGATTTTACGATCTCACACGTTCCTGGAAGTGAAAATGTCTTGGCAGATTTGTTATCGAGACCAGAAGATGAGTCTGAGTTGCCCGAGGTCGCTTACGGAGTGCATGCAGTAGAACAAGACCCACTAAGACTTGCACGTAGGCAGAGGTTGGACGATACGCTGAATACAGTAATACAGGTGATCACCAACGGAATAGAAGTGGATCAAACTACGGCGAGTAAGGAGCTAACCACACTACTCAGACAGAGGGATCGACTCAGAGTGAATGCCTACGGGACTCTGACCTGGCGAGAGAACGACGGAAGCTGGCTGGCTGTCATACCTCAATCGTCGCGCCACGACATGATAGAAGAATGTCACCAGCTAGCGCATACAGGCGTGGCCAGAACGACCGACCTCCTAAGACAAAGTATGTACTGGCCAGGTATGAGAGAAGACGTAGCAAGATACGTACTTGGATGTCCACGGTGCCAGCTGATGAAAGGTGACCGGTATATACGACCACCACTTCAGTCGATTCCAGTTACCGCGATAGGTGACTTGTGGTCCGTAGATGTCATGGGTCCATTTCCTCAGACATCCAATGGTAATCAGTACCTCTTGGTGATGACGGAACACGCGACACGATGGGTAGACGCCGTAGCAATCCCAGACCAACGTGCAAGAACCGTGACAGATGCAGTAGTTAGACACATTGTTGCAGACCACGGCGTACCGAAGACAATACTGACAGACCAAGGTCCCTGTTTCGAGAGTGAAGAGTTTACTTCCCGTTTGCAACAGCTGGGCATCAAGAGGATCAGAACGACCCCATACCATCCACAAACGAATGGCCTAACGGAGAGAAACAACCGTACACTGAAAGAGTGGCTGGCTTCGAAGGGCGGGAACTGGGAAACGGAGCTTCCACTGATTTTACTAACACATCGGGCTACCACTCAGGAAACAACGAAGAAGTCACCCTTCCAACTGATGTATGGCAGAAAACCACGATTACCGGTACACAATGAGACCTGGCCCATGCACCAAAAGTGGAGTACGACGAAATTAAAAGCAGAGAGGAAAGAGGCAGTCAAGAATGTAATACGGAAGCAGCGCAGTGATGTCACGAAGTCTCAGATGAAAGAAAGGACGCAGTGCATTACTTTTGCAGTCGGGGACCAAGTGAAGTGTAGAGACAGGAGATATACAGTTGGAGGCGGGCTAGGTTCACGGAAACTCCTTCCAAAGTGGGAAGGACCATACACAATCACAAAAAGACGGGGTCAAGTATATACCATCCGAAGAGGTGATAAACAGAAACGAGTTAACGCCAGTCAGCTACAAAGATGGGTACAGTGGGACAAGCCGGTCAGTAACAATCCTCAACTAGAGGATGTAGCACCCAGAAGGTCGGAACGTCTGCGCACAAAGCTATTTGACGGGGGGACGAGTGTGGTGAGAGCAGGCTGCTAGCCGATTGGTTGGCACTAATCTACGTTAATGTCTAGGTCACTAATATTGACCGTGAACAAGGCTGTTTCAACAACCAATCACAGCAAACCTAAATGTGGACAAATATGATTCGCAGATAGATGGCTCTACTTTCCGAGAAATATCGAACACAACCAATCATAAGACTGTGTTTGTCTGCTTAACTTCCGAGAAACAACCAATCAGAAGACTGCCTTTTTCTGCTTGCATAAGCCTTATTAATGCATATAAAATATATATAAATACGTGTTGATTTTCGTAATAAAACGATCTGTTGCCAGCCCTTGTCTTCTGTTGTTACACTAGTATATGCACATTGAAGTGGCCTATTGTGACAGCATGTCTTTCGCGTTCTGGCTGAATGTCAGGGCCATTGTAAACAGGTAATTCTTCTAGAAGTGACTATCCCATTGCCTTTCTTATCCAAACTTTCTGTTTATTCAGGTTATTTTAAAGTTTTTCTTAATCCCTCAACTATTTACACTACCATATTTTTATATCCGAACTTCCCGCCAATTTTTGTCATTTTATTATTTCTACATATTTATGCCCTGATTGCATGAACAATTATTCGTCATATTAGTTGTGATCCTACTAGATTTTGTTATGCAAACATCCTGTCTATTGTTGTTATTTCTACATTTCTAACTCCTAATTGCACAATCAATGTCAATCTTCTTAGTAATTATGATGCTACTTTGTATGAGTCTTATCCATCCCCCTTGTCTATTATAGAAATTTTATTCTACTTTTCCACACGTGAATATGGTAGGGAGAGGTTCAACTATAGCGTCCCAGGAGTGCGAACGATCAAGTGACCTTCAACGCCTGCTAGTCGTTGGTTGAGGAAACTTGCCATTATTCTAACGTGAAAATGAATGGTGTTCATCTGCTCAGATGTAAATTTCACCCAAATCAAGTATTTCAATACTGCTTGGATAATCAATTGATTGGACGTTCTCGTATATGTAGCTGTGGTGCTTCAATGAACCTGCAGTCGTATTCCTAGGTCATTAGTGGATATATATATTTAGATGTACAGAGTGTAGCTCATTGTACTTTATTAGATTCAGTTATTATCGCCTTTCAGCTGAATCGTCATCGTTCAAAACTCTTTTTCTCCTTTCTCTTCTCTTCTCCTGTTGTCATTAGATGTGATCCTCCGTGTATCCCATACTTAGGGATGTATTTAACCGATTTATCGTTTATTGAAGAGGGTGCTTTAAATATAACTGAGAATAATTTGGTCAATTTTTGTAAAATGCGTATGGTAAGTGTAATTGAGAGTTTAATTACTTTTTTACTATTTTATCATTGTAATTATAACAGTTATTATCATTATTACTATTACTATTGTTCCTTGATCGGTGTTGTCTACCGGTGGAATCCATGAGGTGAGTTCTATCCTGTCAACTAGATATACCTGCATCCTGAGTCATTGAGTGATAACACCGTGTTTTAGACATTTACAAAACAGAAAGATTGAGCGAGTGAAGAAATATTTACTTTTCAATTAGATCCTCATCTCACTCTGGCTCTAATCTAATTTACACAGTGTAGCACTTTTTACTACAATACACAACAATTTAACCAATCATCAAGTGGCACTGATATGTTTGTTAAAAATAATTAGTCAGTCAGTGTCAACATGTCAAGCAGTGGAGTGATAATTAACGAAGAAAATCAATACACACAATTAAAAGGTAGAAATGGTTAGAACAAATTAATTTTACAAGGATAACACGTAATTAAAGATGAAGTTTAGGGACAGGGGGCGAAGTAGTCCAGTTTATACATTCATGTAATGATGGCCACGGTAAGGAAAGTGGCTCTACAAATTTCTTCTGAACATGCACAGGTTTACCTTCCTCAGGTGGATTCCTATTGCTTCAGTTGTCTGTAGAAGATGAACTTGTAGAGCAAAATTAAGATTAGTAGGAATGCGATAGATAATTTTAAATGCAGTATTAACATCAACCTTATGCTCAGTATCTACAAAGTGTGCTAAAACAAACCTAGCTTCGAATAGATCTTGTTTGTCCTATGCTTCACCATGTCGGATGATGTTCGGAAAAACAATGATGAACTTGCCTAATTGTACGCCCAGTGTAGCTGGCTCCGCAGCTGCAGTTAAACTGGTCAATACACACAGAAGAGGCAAATTTGGGTAGTTTATTCTTATTTCTCGAACGTAGAATAGGGGTGGTTGTGAAGAGACAAAGTACCACCTCTACTGCATAATAAGCTCTTTTAACTGCATTCTTCAGGCGTTGTGTTATTATTCCGCTGATGTTGTCACCGAGGAACTGCAATTTTATGAACAGTGGTTTTTTCGGAACTGTTGCCATAGTGACTGTCCTAAGTGATGAATTCATACTTTTCTCAATGAATTTATATGCCTAACCATTTTTTCTAAGCAATTCTCCAATAATCTTAAGCTCCTCATCGAAGCAGTCATCTGAACAGATTAACCTAGCTCTATGAACCAGACACTTTACCAGGTTACGTTTATATTTCTAAGGTACAAAACTCAAAAAATGAGTGTACTGACCTGTTGTAGTAGGTTTCCTGTACACACTCCTTCTTAGTGTGCCATCTTCTTTCCTTGCCATGAAGACGTCTAGAAATGAGATACTGTCATTACTCTGTTTCTCTATGGTAAAGTTTATTGCTAAGTGTGCATCATTAAACTTGTCAAGGGTGTTCATTGCATCATTTTCATCTTTCATAACCACAAATGTATCATCCATATATCAACAGTAGAAATCCAAGTCATTAATTACTCCTTTCAGTGGTCCATTCCCTAACTTAGTGAGGAAAAAATCAGCTAGGATTGGACCTAATGGTGAACCCATAGCTACACCATCAATTTGTCTGTAATATACCTTATTGAATAAGAAATGAATATCTTAAAATAAGTTCCTTGATTTTCTTCGTTTATAATCAACCCATTGACATTTTGACACTGACTGACTAATTATTTTTAACAAACATATCAGTGCCACTTGATGATTGGTTAAATTGTTGTGTATTGTAATAAAAAGTGCTACACTGTGTATATTAGAGTAGAGTAGAGCCAGAGTGAGATGAAGGAGGATCTAATTGAAAAGTAAATATTTCTTCACTCGCTCAATCTTTCTGTTTTCTAGACACCCTTTTTATTTCAAACAACAGAAATGTATGAAGTAAGCTATTGATTAACGAAGATCACTTCGTGTACAAAGGGGGGTGCCCTAAACTGATAGAGAGTCTGCATCATCACCCGACCTTACAGATCGTTCATTATAGCCAATTACTGGTTGGTGTGTTGCTGCAATCAAATAAAGAGAAGACATGGGCTTAGGTCTTTTTTTTTTACTTTTCAGCTCTTATCAGTGTTATTAGCCTTAAGGGTGAGTAACATTGAGGTTAGGCTTCGGTCGAGCGACGAGGTTGCGAAGTTACATCGATTGAGATGACTAGGACAAGTGTTACGCATGCCTCGTGGCGGTCAAACCAAAACAAGGCATTAGTCAATGAAATCCATGTCAATTAGTTTATCTGTTAATATCCCTTCGAGTTCGTTGTGGAACATACAGCTTCAACAACACACATCTACATTTCACCGCATTCTTTCCAGTGTTCTCCAGCCTTTGTTTCCTCATCATATTGCCTTCTCCATGTCACCACGCTTGGATCTGCGCCCAACTTGCGGCTTTCTATTTGTATTCCACTTGACTGGAGATAAACCAATCAGAATTGACCTACATAAACGGCCGATATCCGGTCGGGAAATAAGCCAATCAAAAAGAGGCCTGTGTAAAATAACGCCCCACTATATTTTTATTGGTCATGATCATAGACTAACTGATATGACCTTGGTGAATTTTTTGAATCATACGTTATCGTGTAAATACACCATTACTTTCAGTCTCATTTTTGGTTTGTTGTTGCTTAAGTTGCGGACTGAGAGATCGACTAACCGCTGTATACCTTGTTGTTTGCGTAGACAAGCGATACTCGTGATTACTGCATATATCATCAACTCAGCGGCCGTATTTTACCTCAAAATGTTTTGCAAAATTCAATTTATTCAGAAGACATGCTTTAACCTGCCGGAGAATTCTCATCCGGATACAATGAAATCTTAATGAAAGATGATTTCCACAGTGAGATGCAAATGAGTAACATCAATTAGACTTGAATACAGAATGAAACGTTCTAAATGCAGATAGGTTCTGTGATTAACCACTTCCAAGTATATTTCACTAGTTAATCTTGAATGTCAAAACTTCTAGACTGCATAATCCTGTCCCTCCTTTCTGTCCTTCCTTCTAATGAAACTTGTATATGAATAAGGTATTTATCACTAGTTCCAATGCTCCTTTTTTGTTATTCTCCTTCTAGATTGCCCATGTGATACGTGAAGTTCAACAGTATCATCAGACTCCATATCTTATAACTCACAGACGAGAGGTAAGTTTATAAATCTATTATATTATTAAATATATTGTTATTCCCTTGGGTTCCAAGTGAAACATAGGGCTTCAACTGCACGTCTCCATTTTCTTCTGTCTTCTGCTGTACTTTTCGCCAGCATCCATGTTAGTCCATACTCTTTCAAATCCTCTTCACACGATCTCCTCCATGTCACCCTTGTACTGACGTCCCACACGCCGCTTCCATTTCGGGTTCCACTAGAGGGCTTGACGCGCGATGTCACCCAGCTGTCTCCTTAGCGAGTGTCCGATCCATCTTTTTTCACTTTCTCCTGCATATTTGTTGGGCGATTGGTTCTTGTTTTGTTTGTTAGTGCCCATAGTTCCTTGTTGGTGATTCTTTCCGGCCCGGCCATCTGATCTTCAGTATAGAGTGGAGACAGTTGTTAATAAAGGTCTGCAACAGGCTGTTGGAAATATTCTTTGTGACCCTCCAAGTTTTTGATCCGTATAGAAGAACTGACTGACTTGACGTTTGTATTGAAAATCCGACCGAATTTTGTTGTTGATGCAGGCTGAGTGACTAAGATTTCCAGATTGATTTCAGGCTGATGAATGTGTTTCTCGCCTTCCCGCCGATTCTCGAGTTTACATCCTCGTCCGCTCCTCCTGTAGTTGAGACAATGCTCCCTAGATGATAAGTGAATGAAGTAACCTCTTTCAAATCCCTTCCGTTGATGGTGATTGACGCTGGATGCTGTTGGTTGGTTGGTTATTTTCATAACCTTCGTCTTGTCTATGTTTACCTGGAGTCCTGTCTTCGCTGGCTGCTTCTTCGACCAGTTTGTCGCTCGGTTTTCGCTTGTAAGTCTTCGATTTTGTGACAGTGACATCAAACATAAATCATCAGCGCGCGAAATCCAGGTCTTCTAGGTCGGTCTTCACGTCGGTCCAGGATATTCCTGTCTTCTTGTTTCCCACTCACTATCTGACGCGTAATCCAGTCAGTCCACCACAATTAGGGATATCATTGGTGATAGTAAGCACTCTTGTCTGACTCCTGTGTTTACTCCAAACGCCTCGCTGAGTCTTCCCGTTGTGGATCACTTGGCAGTTGCCTTTGTCGTACAGCTGCTGAATAACGATGATGATTAGATATTGGAATAAAATTCAGTGTGAGATAATGTACATTCAGAAATAATAATACGAGTGTTTTTATAGTCAAAATAATCAGTAACTTGTTAGAATGTTGTGATGTATATGAATTGAATTGAAATAGAATTTTAAGATTATTTATTATCCTCCTCTGATTTGACTGACTGACTGGCGGTAGTAATATCTTCCATATTTCTGGTTTCTGTATTGATTTATTCCTATTGCATGAGTTGGGTGTACAGTCGATAAACAAGGATTCAGCTTTGATGTCTTCATCCGTTCCGACTGTCTGTGGTTAAAACGATACTTCCTAGTTAAGTGAAAGAGGTTACCTCTTTCAAATCTCCTACGTTGATTGTGATCGGTGCTGATTGTTGTTGCTGTTGGTTGGTTGGTTGGTTGGCTGGCTGTCTTCATCACCACCTCCGTCTTCTCTATTTTCACCTGCAGTCCTGTCTTCGCTGCATGCCAGCTTGCCTCGCCTCTTCAGCCCAGTTTGTTGGTTTTGACCTGCAAATCTTCGAGGTTGCGTGATATATATTAAACATAAATAATCTATGCGCAAAATCCAGATCTTCTTGAGTATCCCCATTGGTCAGTTTAACATAATTTCTGTCTTCTCACTCCTCACATATACAGTCTGACACATAATCCAGTCCATTACACAGTTAGTAATATCATCGAGGTTGATAATAGATAGGCAGACAGACAGACAGCCAGGCAGGCAACTCCTGTATTCGCCTGTATTCGAACGCCTCACTGAGTTTTCCGCTGTGGATTTTACTGACACATGGCATTATCATCTAGGCATCTGTTGAATGACGTTGATTAAAACTTGGGCACTATGCGCTGTAATTTTAAAGCAGTTTCCAAATTACTTCTCGATATAATTAAATTGATTTTTTGCTGACAAAGAAGATTTCAGAACACAATGCAAAGTTAGTCCTTAATTTTACTGTGTTTTTTTTTTGCTGAAATACGTAATCTCTTGAGCAACACAGAGTAATTCCATATGACACAACATACTGTGTGTGTATCACAGTGCTTTTTTCAACAGTTAGCTTGTAGGAATTCGATTTCTCTTTGAAGTCTAAGCACAGGTTGACATCAGTTAGACAACCATTGAATAACTAGGAGAGAGTACTTGAAAGATGTTTTACTCTACTATTTCGGGAATCGTCAGCAATAAGTATCCAACGCAGACCAACTGATCGCAAAGGAGGATGAATACTCACTCACCATAGGGGTGATACTGGTGCCTGGTGCTTGTGGCGCTCAAATCACGAATTGGTAGAAGTTGGAATTCATGAAGTGGCCATCGAGGAGTGGCATTCCAGTAGTTGAACGGTCTGCGAGCTCTCCTTGTAACCGGAAGGTCCTGACTTCGAACCACAATTGGTTTGTCCTTCTGATGAATGTCAAACTAAGACGAAACAGCTGGCTATCTAGTACTTCACACTGGTTTCCTGCGCTTCTTCAACTAAAACCCGATACTATTTATTTACCTATATATGACGTCTCCATTACCATTTATTGCTCACAATCATTTTAAGTGTATTTTCACGACTTAGAGACTTCTGTTTCATAATCTTAATCCCCACTGTTTTTTACTGCAATGTTGCGTAATTTCTGTTGCATATATATTTCATGTTTACTGGATGAACAGAGATTCAGTGATTAGACTGTCCCCTCACGTAGCTATTTTGTTATGATTCCTTTGCGTACCGAGTGGAACACCAGACATTGATCTAAAGGTCTAAATTTACGGCAGTAGTGGGGGATTTTCACACGATAGGGTTGGTTACATCAAGCCCAACTTTCATTCTTTACAAGGCTTCCTACTGGTTAGGCAAGGATTCAGGGTGCTTCTAAGGGGAATAAAGTCCAGATCAGGTGGGGGGAGCGTGGTTGCTGAGATTGGTACCTCTGAACTATCCATGGCATCCACGTAACTATACTACTACTTCTTAGTAGCTTGATCCATCATATTATGTAATTACATGCATGTGAATACATTTCAGTGGTTGAGCTTTTTTCTACATCTAATCCAATCTGGAAAAAAGGCATAGTCACTACAATGCCGTTGGGTGCGTACTGCTGAAGAGTCCCGAACTAGGACGAAACAGCGTCCAGTACTCCCAGGTTTTCCAAAGGTTCTCTAACTAATGTCATCTCATGATGAAATCCTGAAACCAACCAAATCCCTACAAACCAACACTTAAACTACAATGAATTCTTATGCATTTTATTACACAACAGAGTGAGGAAATCGATCTCTGCATTCTCCTGTATAGCTGACAAAACTTTCCTAAAGAGAAATGCACAGTCATAAGAAAACACACCAAAGACAGCGAGATGAAAAATATTCATTAATGGAACCAAGAGGACAAGAACTTATTGCAGCACTCTCACCTCAAGGAAAATTGAAGAAACATATCTCATGGATGTCTTCTAAAGGAATGGATATCCACGGACCTTCATCAAAAGACATATACCTCCAAGCCAACCTACCAAAGCAAAAGCCTCCAAGGAAAGCACAAAGAAAATCGCCTAACCATATATAAAGGATATCCCAGAAATCACTACAAGACTCTTCAAACCTTTAGGAATTGACGTTGTACACAAACCAACAAAGTCACCAATTTTATGTCAACCAAAAGACTCAACATCATCTACAAAATAAATTGTAACAACTGCGAAAAACACTACATTGGTCAAAGTAGACGTCTCCTTCGTCTTCTTATCCATGATCGTAAGCTAGTCATCAAAAGATATGACACCCACTCCGTCATGTAGCTGCATACAGACAACCATGAACATCAATTCGACTGGGACAAACAGTGTTCAGATATTAGACAAAGGAAACAACAAGAATGCTAGAGGATTTTTATAAGCCTGCCTGGCATTCCAGTGAATCATCAATCAATAGACACATCGGTGGCACAGTGGTTAGGACTCTCGCCGACCATGCAAAAGGCCTGAGGTTCGATCCTCTGACGACGCACACCCGATATCAATGGTCGACCTGCAAAATTTCGGCTACCGATATCACATGCTGAAAATTCCATACTTGCACCAAAATTATTTTATTTGATTAAAGCTTGATTCCACACTGCATGCAGGCCAACCATAAATATCAGGTATGCGTCGGCAGGGGACCGAACCTCGGACCATGTGCATGGTCGGTGAGAGTCCTAACCACTGTGCTACTGACGCACCAAATACGTTGTGGAATCAAGCTGTAATCAAAAATATAAAAAATAAAATAAAAATAATTTATCAGCCAATAAGAAAGAAACCTCATACACAAAGGGTCAAAGTTCAAGTCAAAGAAACAATCAGTTCCTCCAATACAAGTATCCTAGAAGGTGTGAAAGCACACAAAAACAACCAATCACGTCCGAGGTAGTCACCGACCAGGAGAGATGATTAATAAACTCATGGAGAAATCTAAAAGCTCACTTCAATTGAAATTGAAGTTTGCGCTGAAGATGTCACGTAGTAGGGTGATGAAAGTTTCGCAAATTAACCATCCAGCTCAGAGAACAAAACCACATCAAAATCATCCACCTGAGCTACAAATCTTCTCTATCCATATCTAAATCTGTTTATGTCTTTATTCAGAAACTAAAAATTTACCTTGAAGCTGCCGTTAGCCAGTTATATAGTCCTGTTTAAGTACAAAACGAGTAACTAGAATAAAGAAGAGTGTTCTCGACAAGAGGGGGATTAAAAGCTGTGTCCACAGGAATCACACCTAAACTCTTCCCTCAAACAGTCCAAGATCACAATGATTTTGATTCACTCAAACAAATTTGAAGTCATAAAACAACACGCTTGTCAATATCATCGTCACACAACTACAAAGAGAAGCAGCAATGTTAGAGATTAAACAATGAGAAAGACAAGTAAACAGGATTAAGTCAACATATGAACACCAGCAAACATCAGAACAATGATATTACAGTCTAGAAGTAAAAGGACAAATAATCATTCCAGAGTTAGCTGAAACATCCAAACAAGTAGAAATATTCCAATATGGATTAAAGTTTTATTTTGATAAAATCACACAATGGTATTATGCAGTAATATTCACTGATAACCACGTTTCGAGCATAATTTATTGCTCCTTATAATTATATAAAGATATTACTCACACAATTTTCTTACTTCATTTATATACATGAGTGGAATTGATGATTAGACATTTGAATAAAATCATTATGGGATAATGTACATTCAGAAATAATAATAATAATATGAGTGTTATCAATCAAACACAATCATATGGGAAATAAGATGTTTTCATAGTAAGTCAATGCAAAAACTGGCGCGGAATTATGCTTCTGTCCATCCCAAGCAAAATATTAAGCCGCATCTTCCTGAGGAGAGAATCAAAAACAAGCCCTGGATGAAAAAACTTCGGCCACAACAGGCTGGATTCAGGAGAAACAAGTCATGTAGTGATCAAATCGCCACACTACGGATCATCATTGAACAAAGCTTGGAATGGTAGTCACCTATCTATCTCAACTTCATCGACTTTGAAAAGGCCTTCAGCAGACAGCGTCGATCGGGAGGTCATTTAGAAACTATTTCGCTACTATGAGGTGCCACCGACAATTATACATGTCATCCAACAGTTATACGACAATGCTGCATGCCAAGTAATCCACAACGGGAAAATTACGGAATCCTTCGAGGTGAGGACGGGAGTGAGGCATGGCTGTCTAATATCGCCAATGATTTTCTTGATTGCAGTAGATTGGATAATGAGACAGACAACGGCTGGCAATGAGGAAATATGCATAAAATGGACTCACACAAAAACTTAGAGGATCTGGACTTCACCGATGATATATGTCTGATTTCCCACAAACTGGAAGATATACAAGTGAAAAGCAACAAGCTGACAGAAGAAGCATCCAGAGAAGATAGGAATTCAGGTGAACATAGAGAAAACAGAGGTGATGAAGATTCCTGGCCAACAGCAATAGCAGCAACAACCACATACAACAATCAGCATAAATGGGAGGAACCTGAAAGAAACAACCTCCTTCACCTACCTACATACCTGGAAGGCATCGTTTCAATAACAGGCGGAACTGACGAGAATATCAAAGCAAGAACCTGGAAAGCTATGCAAGCTTTCATTACTTTCAAGTCTGTGTGGAGGTCAGCAGTACTCAGCATCAAAAATAAGATCCGGATTTTCAACTCCCATGTGAAGTCAGGGCTACTTGCTAAACGGATCAAAGACTTGGCGAGTCATGAGAAGCACCTCAAACAAACCACAGACCTTCATCAACAGTTGTCTTCGCTCAATACTCAAGATCAGATGGCCAGACTTGGAGTGGGGTGAAAAAGTTGGCAGAAAACGCAATGGCAATGGAGAAGCACAGCTGAAGCCCTATGTTCCTCTAGGAATTAAAGGATATAATAATAATAATAATAATAATTTTAAAATAAATAAGTTACTTGTCAGAATGTTATGATGTGAATTGAACAAATTTTAACATTATTTATTATCCCCCTTTGATTTGACTGCTGGTAATAATATCTTCCATATCTATGGTATCTGCATGGAATCACCTCTATTGTATGTGTTGGGTGTATAGACTCGATGAACAAGGATTCAGTAATCAACCTCTTTATCTCTCCAACCACCTTGATTACTTTTCAGAATTTTAACGCCCCCCCCCACAACTTATTGCGTAGTTTTGCGTTAATTTATGCAGTGCATTCATAACTTGGCCAAAATTCTTGTGTTTCGACAATCTGACTAGCCCAATCGATCTACTAGTTTGACCTGTGTAGTTGACCTAATACTCACAGTCACTGAAATGTACTGGGTCCTTTAACTTGCAGAGCTTGTCCTATCTGAGTGAGTTTGTAGGTTCAAATACCCCTTCCGTAATTCCTGTTTCATTGAGAATCCTACGCGCATGATCTCAGATGTCTCCTGCTTATATTCTTTCTTATTTATGTTATCATTATTAGTTTTACCATCATATGTCTATTTTGCTTTTGACCTTTTCTGATCTTCTTAATGAATTTTACAGGATGGTTATTTAACACCAAACCCTCCTTCTACCTGTTTTATTTCATCATTTAGTTACCCTGAACTGATAATGTGAGCACTAGTAAATTGTCCTGGAGACATGGTCATCAGTTAATATTACTGGATAACGTTGAGTGATTTTAACACGATAAAATTTTATCCATAATCGATTTATACTCTGCCATAGTGTTCAAATTTCATACTTATAAGGATTTTCAAAACAATTATTCCCCCAACCTACCCTGTGCGTCGTTGGCACAGTGGTTAGGACTCCCGCCGACCATGCACATGGTCTAGGGTTCGAGCCCTCGTCGACGCACACCCGATATCTATGCTCGGCCTGCGAATTCTGGGCTACCGATATCCACGCTGAAAATTCCATACATGTACCAAAAATACGGTGTGGAATCAAGCTGTAATCAAAAATAAAAAAATAAAATAAAAAAGTAATTTTTGGTTTGTAAGGATTAGTTATGTTTTACGAGTTGACCACGGATTGATATCAGTTAGAGAACCATTGAAAACCAGGGAGTACTGGACAACTGCTGTTTCATCCTAGTTTGGGAATCATCGGCAGTACGCACCCACTGGGTTTCGAACCCAGGACCTTCCGGTTACAAGGCAAGCTCGTATACCATTCAGCCACTGGGACCCGATTCAATGGCTCGTGAATTCTAACTTCTACCAATTCGTGATTTAGCGTGACCCCAAACCAAAAACTATAGAAAGTTAATCTGATGCTCGCTAGTGACTTGCTACAGGTTGGAGTTTCCTGAGTTCTAGTGGGAAGTCGTGACCAGTGAGGTCCAATTAGATGTCACGTGTGTGGATGGATGTCCCACCAACGACAATGGTTGGGGTCGCGCTAAATCACGAATTGGTAGAAGTTAGAATTCACGAGCCATTGAATCGGGTCCCAGTGGCTGAATGGTATACGAGCTTGCCTTGTAACCGGAAGGTCCTGGGTTCGAATCCTGGCAGTGGGTGCGTACTGCCGATGATTCCCAAACTAGGATGAAACAGCAGCTGTCCAGAGTACTTCAGTGCTGGTTTTCAATGGTTCTCTAACTGACATCAATCCGTGATCAACTCGTAAAACATAAAAAAGTAGATAAAGTTACAACCAGTTGATGAAACACTACTAGGACGAAATGCACCTACTGGCTTCATTCCCCTTTCTAGGCAGCATTTAAACAAAAATAACCCACTGTGTTTATTGATTTCTTGTTATTAATTAGGTAACGGATTATTTACTTGATCCAACACGTTTGCTAGACGAAGAACAAACTTATCAAGCATCATTAATTATAGAACCAAGACAATCCATTAATCGACAACCTCCAACTGGACTGTCATAGTCAATGTCACTTCAACCAACCAACCAACCAACTAGCTATTATATGAAGAGTTTTCATTACAGATTAATTTTCTGTATACATTTCTGTATGTAAAAATTTATAAAATAGCATGTATGAGAACTAAAAGATGAACTGTTTTTGCTTTCTTTTTCTCGTTATTTTGTTTCTTATTTTCTGATGTCTATCAAACACATAAGCATACACACACACACACGCTGACATGTTGGCACCATTTTGAGATTCCAGGAAAAATTTGTAATCCCTTTCTCTTCACTGTTTTTATTCTTTCTGTGTATTCCCCACTGCCCCCCCGCCTCATTCAGCCCTCCTTACCAGCTGGTCAGTACTTTTAGTTCCTGTGACTGAGATGAAGGATGAGAAAGTAAACAGATTAAAAATCAAGCTCTCTTTTGAGCTCCCTTATCATCAATATTATTGTAAAAAAAAATACATACATATATATATATACATATTCGTACTTAGGTGTTGTTGTTGCTGTTATTTTTATCTGTGTCCCCCCTCCTTTTTTTTTATTCTACTTTATTTCCGTTGATTTTGTTTAACTGTATCAAAGAGTAGAATTATCGATCTTTTATTTTTGAGCGCCATTTTTGAATACCCATACCATTCCAGTTATTATTTATTGTCGTTGATGTTGCTAATGGTTTCCTCTATCGATTTGCAAATGGATGATAGAAAAAAATCAATATAAGGCAGATAGTGTTAGTGTCTTAATTACTCACTTATTCACCTACTCAATCATTACTGTCTCGTGTGTGTGTGTGTGTGTGTGTAAGGGGGATCTTTGAGTTGGAGTCATTTTTACTCATGTTCTTTCTTAGTCTTTCTTTCAAAATATGATGTCCCTCATTGTGCTTTCTTAATTTATGTATTTTTGTATTGTTATAAGCATTCCTGTTTGTTCCCCGCATCAGTTTATCAGTTCATTTGAGGGAGGGGGGATGGCGTGGAGGGCTGAATAGAAGAGAATGAGATATCATTAACAGCTAATCATTCACTGAACTATCGATCACATGGGTGTATGCGTGTGTGTATTAAATAGCTTCCATGTAATTGATACTATAACCTACCCCCCCCCCACCACCACCACCCGTCCACCCACCGTTTTGTTTTAAGCCATTTGTGATAAGAGTAGATAGATACTACAAAAGAATAAGTTATATTTTTTTCACATTATTACATATACTACTACTAATACAACTATTGTCCATACTACTTAATTTTCTTCTGATCCACTCTTCATATAATACATTCCTGTATTGTTTGTTCTCTTTTTTTCGTCACTGTTATTGTTGTTGTTGCTGTTGTAATTGTCGTTGGTGATATGTTTATTTTTTATTATTTTTGTGTTTAATTAGAATAATATTTATGCTTAGATAATATAGGACAGATTATTTTTCAACCTGTTTTTAGTCTATTGTGTGTGTGTGTATGTGCGTTTGAGTATTTTTCGAAGTGTTTCAAATCTCTTAAACTTCTGGATTTCTTCCCAATCTGTCTTCATCAACAGATTATTCATTATGTAATATTTGTTGATCACATATGACATCATTCACCTTCTTCTTATTCTCTGTCTATGACTGTAAAGACCAAAAAATCTCTTGAATCACTGATCTATTGAACATTGAACAAGGACAAAAAAATGGTGCGAAATTTAAAAAAAACACTCGTAAAGCGCCACATTTGTGACCTCTTTCTTTTTGCTCTTTTCTCTTCACTATGTCTATATTTTTTTTCTTTTTGTGCATTTATTTGTGTTTGTTAACTTGAGTTTATTGTAATCCTATTCCGTGTGTTTTTTGGCATTTATATTGAAAAGGGGAGGAAGAATTAAGGTGTTCTCAGACAGAGATGAAAAAAGTTGGGAAATAAGAAGGCGAAATCGATTTCAATCCTACAAGTATAACAACGACAACTACTATCACTATTATTGATGTCGTCTTTTGTTAGTTTTTCTTTTTAGGGAAAAATGACAGAAATCGAAGACACTTATTCTCCCTCCCCCTACAACACCACCACCTTGTTCCACCCCATCATATTTGAACAAATTTTTCTATCTGTTAGAGTTCTGATTGTTCGTGTTAAGTAAACCCCATGAAAAAAAAGAGAACAGAAAATCAATAGAAAATCAATGATATTTCAGAAAATATTTCTTCTTCTGTCCTTATCATCTTCGTACTGAAAGTAGTTCGTTCTCTTTTATAAATTTTGACAAAGCAACAAGAAGACGTAGTTTATCTGAAATGTGTATGACGTAATGTGTATTCGCGCAACAGCCTTTGGACATTCTCATCACACAGACAAGTACTTGTCATATACATTTATATAGAATAGAAGTAAGACAACTAAAAACAACAAAGACTAATTAAATTACGATTTCATCATGAGCTGACATTAGTTTGAGAACCATTGGAAAACCACCTGGGAGTACTGGACAGCTGTTTCGTCCTAGTTTGGGACTCTTCAGCAGTGCGCACCCACCGCCAGGGTTCTAACCCAGGACCTTCCGGTTACAAGGCGAGCTCGTGTACCATTAAGCCACTGGGACCCGATCCAATGGTCCTTGAATTCTAACTTCTGCTAGCCAATGTCTTCGGTGAGTATTTGTCCTCACACCCGACCAGCTGCACCCTACTGGTCACGACGTCCCACTGGAACCCAGGTGACTACCTACCTGAATAGGGCCAGTTGCCAGTGAGCATCTTACTGATGAAGAGTCCCAAACTAGGACGAAACAGCTGTCCAGTACTCCCAGGTTTTCCAATGGTTCTCTAACTAATGTCAGCTCATGATGAAATCGTGAAACCAATCAAATCCCTACAAACCAACACTTGAATACTAATTAAATTAATTGAAAATTCTCGATCAATCAGCACCTAAATATACCAAATGATATTTCTCAAAGGCAAAAAAAATAAAAGGATAAGAAACCAATCAAGTTTTATAAATAGTGACAGAATATCTCGTGACATGAGATTGATTTGTCAGTGGTTCGACGACCTCTCTACAAATCACCTCAATGTTGAACACATCTCACACACAATCACACCAAAATGTCAAGGTTGAGTTCAACTCTGATTAATTAGCTGGTTGAGTCGTTTTGGAGAGTGGAGTCGAATATTGTTTATATGTATCACCTGGGAGAGTTATACAAAGTGTCATCAAAATGACGCAGGAATTATAGTAATAATAATAATTCGCTTTATTATAGAAACAGTACTAGTGGTACAGTGTGGAATTTTCAGCACTTATCTACAATATATTGCATCTAATTTTATCAAACATTTAAAAGGAGCATTACAAAAAAAATAAATACAAAAAACAACAACGACAAAAAGAACACAAAATAGCAAAAAATGCAAAAAAATATACCAAGAAGTAGAAATGGAAAATAAACAACAATAATAAATAATACCTCAGTATTGGGTAGTGGAAGCTATGACATTTTTATGCGTGGTGAACAGTAACAGCTGTAATCATACAAGAAGTTATGAAATGATATTAAGAATGTTTATAACCAGGATGATCAGTTAATTTGATTGAACTACACTAAACAATCATAAAATAAACATTTCAGGTTGTGTTTTTTTTTATTGTCAGCACTAATGCGGTGTTCGTAGTGGTAGAGGGAGTAATCATGCATAATACAAAATTTTTAAGATGGTGATAACGGTGTTCACAAACAAGATTGTCAGTTAAATAGTGCCGAACAAAAAACAAACACAAAACTGATATTACATGATGGTTATTGACAGGATAGTTTTGTAATACTCATAGTGCTAATATAGTCGGGACCAGTAGATACACAAAAGAAGGAATAGAGTAAAGAATAAAAAAGTAAGCCAATGATAATAATTTTAGGTAGCTAAGTATGTTTAAGAAGGTTGTTCACTATAGTGTACAAATAAGAGAGTATAAGGGGGAAATAACAAGGACCAAAATTATGTTATTAACAACAAAGCAAGTCATAGATTTCACGCTTCACATTGTCTCTGTCTCACTTAGAATACGGGCTAAATATGGTATCGTTAAGTTCCTATACTTGGTTGTACGAGCATATATTATTTTTTGTGCTGATTTCCGGTTCTACCTGATGAGATACAAGGAGAGAGTTGGGAATAGACGGGGCTGATGGGGGTCAATGTTGGTCAAATTGTGTACAGGTCAAGATCACGAACAAGAGCTAGGAAGATGACTTAAGGATGTGTGAAGATGTTGTCAGACAACCGAATGAGAGAAACGCCCTAGACTGTGCTTAGATGCCCATGATCTGCTTACAGAAAGCACTAATCAATTAACTGGTCAGTGTTAGTGGTTATCAACTATTCTATTAGGATGTCATCAACATCGCATTTCACGAGCAAACTGGGATTGAAATAGAGCAGGTGAGTTTGGACACAGACGACTTCCTGAATGTCCTAATTAAGAAAAAATCAAATGGTAGCATAAAAAGTAATTCGTATAGAAAACGTACTTGGACAGGACAACATACACACATTTTCACAGCTTCGTTCTTATCAAGTACAAAAGAAATTTAGTCAAGAGCCTCAACCACAGAGTCAGTTTGAGCTATATGCTCAGAAGAAGTAATCAAAGATGAATTAAGCATTGTTTGTATATGATACTTTGATTGATCGAAAATGGCTATCCCGAAAATAGCTATCAAGAAACACATGACAAAGAGAGCGGCGGAAAAGGACTACTCACTATCCATCTGTAAACAAGAAGCCACTTTATATACGACTACAATTCAAGGCCAGTATACCAAGTAAGATAATTACGAGGAAATTAAGAATATCAGTACAAAGAACCTTTAATGCTGGCGAACTACATGTATTAATTATTATCTACACGACCGATGGTGCTACCTTGACTGAAAGATGAAGTACCTAGACTAGACTAGCTGGGCACTACAAATTGTATCTATCAATTCAACTGTGTTTGTGATGGAGCGAGTCATATTGGCTGTTGCTCTAGGA